AAAAAAGGATTACAGTCCTCTTGATGGTCTCAATTTTTATGTTGCACTTTTTTATTCATTTTAACAGGATGGGAAAATTGGGAAAATTCACTGTTTTTCCAAACGTTCTCAATTTTAAGATTGTCTTAAAGTAGTAGTAGAGCCCCAGAATTTTAGAAATAGTTTTGTAATATTTTCCAGATTGAAAGGCATCAGTGATTTTTTTATCTAGGTTTTCAAAATGTTAATTTCAGAGGTATTAAGACTTGCATCTAGAATTTGCATGATGAGAATTTCACTTGAATCAGCTAAAAAATTATATAAAACAGAGTTGACGCAGGTCACTCCTGTTTTCTTAAAGGAATGTAGATTAACTGGGATTATTTTGTGTGTAGGATTATTTGTTCATGAACTAAATAAAACATGACCCAAACATTTGAGGAGGAGGTTGAGATTCTGTTCACTCAATCTTTTATATATCAGTAATTCTGATGCATTTAGTGGCAAAGATCTATCACCATTCAGAAAATCCTAAAGGGGGGCAAATACGTTTTCACAGAACTGTGGGAAATTTTCAAGCCAAACATGTTTTTCAGTTGTATCGATTCACCTGTTTCATAAATGTGAATCAATTAAATGCATTATTTTTTTTTAATCTTTGAGGATGATTACGTTCTTGAAGTGAGGCACTTTCAGTGTCCAAAATGGCCAAATCCAGATAGCCCTATTAGTAAAACTTTTGAACTTATAAGCATCATAAAAGAAGAAACTTCCAACAGAGATGGCCCTATGATTGTGCATGATGAGTAAGTATTAATTCAATTTCAATAGTTGTTGGCATCTCTATGTATGTTTTGTACAGCATCTGTGATTTATTAAAAGTCATATGTATAGAAAGAAATTGGAATCAAATTTCTCTTTCACTTAAAAATTGCCAGTATTCAAAATCTCTTAACAATGCCTTCTTGACTCATCTCTTGACTCTGCCAGTACTTCAGTATATTGCATCCGTGGGAACTGTCCATGGAGCAAAACAGTTTAAGAGTACGTGGAAAAGAAATAGCAACACTTTAATAGAATAATAAAATCATTATAAGTAGAAGATCATTCAAAAGCAATGACTAATAATTTCTTATTATTCAGTCATTGCTTTGTTAGAAAATTTATTTACTTATTTATTTGCATCCTGCCTTTATTATTTTTACAAATAACTAAAGGTGGTGAGCATACCTTGAGTTCCTCTTTCCTCCTTCTATTTTTCCCACAACAACCACCCTGTGAGGAGGGTTGGGCTGAGAAAGAGTGACTGGCCCCAAGTCATTCTTGGCTAAGGCGGGAGTAGAACTCATGGCCTCCCACTTTCTAGTCAGGTGCCCTAACACTATCCTCTGTAATTTAAGGCAATGAAATGTATTTACATGGTCTATTGCTATATTTGCACATTTAAAACAGCATGCATATAAAACTACTTAAAACGATAATAATAAAATATGTAGTGGCACAGAAAAGTTAACTGTCATGTCAACTCAAAGACATTAATTCAGCTTCAAAATAGATCCAAGAAATACATACAAGAAATAATTTTGAGAAATAAAGATGATAGAACAGCAAGCATAGTTCTGGAGTAGAAGGCAAGAGATTTACTGATTTATAATAATACAGTTGTTAAAAGGTCCAAAAGTAGTGTGCGTACATTATTTTTTTATATTTTTATGTTTCATAACTGCAACAATCAAGCAGGTAACTAAGGGTGCTCTTAAATAAGAGAATGTGAACCCTTTAGTATGTTTTTTTAAGTGGATATGCCCATCTAATAGTAATTAGAACCAGTAGTTGATCATAAATAAATCACATTTGATTGATTCTCTACCCTTCTAGGAAGTCCTAAATGGCATTTTTATTAAGCAGCTGTATATTTTATCACAATGTAAAGCATGTCCTTTTTCTAGATGTACATTCATGTATATTTTTTTTTCATAAGGCATGGAGGAGTGACAGCAGGTACCTTCTGTGCTTTAACAACACTTATGCATCAGCTAGAAAATGAAAGTTGTGTGGATGTTTATCATGTAGCTAAGATGGTCAATTTGATGAGACCTGGAGTCTTCACAGATATTGTAAGTAGGCAAGAATTACTCTGCATAATGAAACTGCATTCTTTGTGGGGTGAAATTCCATTCCCAAAGAGATAAAATCTCATTTTAAGTATTTAAAATAGCAGGCCTGGTATTGCTTCATATTGGCAACAGTTAATTTGCCAATTTGCTGAACATGGATATACTTGATCTATAACTCAGGAACAGCTACTTTTACTATTTTGAATATGTCACTTTTCTCCCTACCATCACCTAGGCACTATTCTTGGCCAAGAAAATGCTCTCCTTTCTGTGGGGTTGACAAATTGATGTGTCTCTTTCAACCATCTCCTGAGCATGCGGTTGCTTGTTTTTTACTACCTGGTGACTGAATGTGCTGTTAGTGATTCTTGTAATCCATACAAGCTACGCTAATGTCCCATCATTTTCTACCCACCCACAATCTTTTAGGACCATTACCAGTTTTTGTACAAAACTGTCCTCAGTCTTGTTAGTTCAAGGCAAGAAGAAAATCCTTCCATATCCATCGACAGTAATGGCTCAGCTTTACCAGATGGCAGTGCAGCCGAGAGCTTGGAATCATTAGTTTGACTTCAATCAAAATATGACAGAGCAATTATTCAGAGCTGGAAATATTTCCTTTTTTTACGTGGGGCAGGGTGATGTCCAGCTATTAGATAATCTTTTTTTATTTCATTTGATTTGAATAAACATTTCTTGCAAATGCATTAACAATGTGTGCCTTTTTGGAAAAAAATCTCGTAATGCATTTTGTTACGTTTGAACTAATTTTACTGAACTCTGCAGTTTCTAAGAATGGTATGTAGTCTTTTACAGTATTAGTTTTTAATTTTTGTGATTACATTTTCACTTAAATTTTATCATAACTATAGATGCTGAAGTTTTCAGCAACACGCATTTTAGTATCCAATTCCCTGTTATTTATAGCACTCCTAATACCTTTGTTAGAAATTTAACTTTTAATATGGTAGAATGTAAATATATTCTCTGTAATATTCAACATTTTAAGATTTTAGTAGGCATTTAGTAGAACTGATACTTATTGTAAATATTTCTAGAGTGGATTCCATGGACCAAATTTATATTTATAATTGTAGATTTTTATATTTTACTACAAAGTCAGTTTTCTAGTTCTGTGTAATTGCATTGTTAAAATGATGTAGTTCATTACCTGTTCTTAATTTTAGTAGCTTCTGATATATTGTCATGCATCCTAAATGGTAACTATTTCTGCATGTAATTTTAACTTTTGTGGGAAATCGAAATATACGTGTTTTGAAATACGAAGTTTCTATGAAAATAACGTCTGTACTAAGCATTGTTTCAATGGCTTTTATCCACGACATTACAAAAATGAATATATTTCAGCTTGTATTGAACACTTAGCAAAAATAAAATCTGCCTCATCACTCTTTAAGACCCTCGTTGTACCTTCAGAGATGCCTTTTCATTTTTCAGCAGCAAAATATTGGCAAGGCAGAAAAATGGTCACAGGCCTTGATATTTAGGATTAAATTTGGCACCCAGATCCTCCAAACTGCTACTGTTTTTTAAGGACTGTTGATATGGTGACATCTATGCAAGGCCTTTTCCGATTGGAGGCAAGTAAGATGACTATTTGCCCTCTCTATGTTATTCAAAAAGAAATCTTACTGTTACTAGGGGTTTTTAGGATGATGGTGCTTTCCTTGCTGCTTTCATTTTTTTTTTTTTTATTACAGGTTGATCTTATGATTGGGACTGGAATTTCAGTTGCTAAACAATGTGGTTAAGTGAGTCATCACATACTGGATCTGATTTTACAGCTGTCTTTACCACTATCAAACAAATCACTGTTGTTAAGCAAATCACATGGTTGTTAAGCAAATCTGGTTTCCTCAATTGATGTTGCTTGTTGAAAACCAGCTGGAAAGGTTGCAAGTCCTGATCACTTGACTGCAACCAGTTGTAAATTCAAGCCAATTGCCAAGCAGACAAATTGTGATCACATGATCAAAGGGGCTGTGCAACAGCTGTAACTTTGAGGACAGGTTGTAAATCACATTTTTTCCCAAGGCTATTGTAATTTGAATGATTGTTAAACAAACAGTTATATGTCAAGAAACATATGCATTTGTAAAGGGCTTAGAATCTTTTTTGGGGACTGAATGGCATATATATTTTGGAAATAAGTATATCAGATGCAAACAATCCTAACAAAGGCAAACTTTCAGATTATTCTTGTATAGTCCCTTTCCTAAATGTCAGTCCAACCACTATGAAGCTTGCAGTATTTCCAGTATTTCATTGATAATAGTGATTCATGATTCCAATACATATCTTTCTGGCATATTGTTAACCAAATGTTTTGATTTTAACTTGGTGCTTCATTTCTCATGGTTAGAACCAAATATTTCATTACAAAATCAGGCAACATTCTAAAGTGCATCCTTAGCTGTAAAAGAGGCCAATGCTATGGATATATAAGTTTATCCATTAAGAGTCATTTTGACATTTGGTAACATTGCAGCAACTTGACCAATCTTCATTAATTCTGGAAAAAAAAAATCCAATTCATAAACCATAGAAGGTCTTCCTTTTAGTGAACAAGCCACTCTGTGGCTAGCTGTACTTTTCTTTTTAACTGAAATTGAGTGATCTCAAAAGCTAAGGAGATTTAGTTGCGGTTAATACTTTACTACATGAATGCAGTTATCAGAAATAGAGATCTTCAAACAGAAGGCCTTATGGGATCTCTGACAGATGCCTTATACTTAAAAGAATTCAAAACATTTCTGCATGTAGATCTAATGCTTCTTTGCACTAACTGTACATAAACTATATTATAATAACAATGCAGTATGAACACTCTCACATATATGAAGAATTGCTCCCACAGTATTACTCTAAAAAGATGCTCACACATGAAAGTCAAACATTTTTATTTTTGTGTGGCAGGATAGCAAAAGCACCAGATTTTTAAACCCAATGTAACACATTACCCTTCGCTTTACCTCTCTGCAAGAAAGTAATTTTCAAAAACAATACAAATTATAAAATAGTCTCTCACAAGCACACTTTTTATGTCAGGGACTCTGGATTTAGTCAGGCAATTTCTTGCCCCTTTACTGTAAACTGAAAACCGTATAAAACTAAGGCTTCCATGATAACCCTTTAATTTGGGGAGATGAAAAGAGTAAAGATCTGAATCAATTCTGGATTACCTGAAACAACATTTCTCTTAAACAGGTTGTGCTTTTTTCCCTGAATGAAGTCTAAAATTGGACATCATCCCTCCTGAAACTCTACTGACACATTTACTCCTTACTTCTTAGTTTCCTTATTCTCCCACTTCTCCATGCATACATTCTTGTATGCAGGAGCCATAGAAATGCACAATAACACAGCTTTATGATTTAACCTTTTCAGATTTATTTTAGAACAGGGTTTGTTTGCTTGCTTGCTTTTTGTTATGGGGATTGTACAAAGCGAGGCATTTTGTTGTGAAATTAGGTGGCAAATTGTTTGCAGGCCAGCAGCCCTCAAAAAATTTTCTGCAAAATTTGCGAAGTATAAATGAAGCAGTTCCACTACTTTCCAGTGAATATCTTGTACTCACTTTTCCTACTTCTCAGTGACCGCAACAGGCAGAGAAAGAACATTGGACATTTTGTTAAAAAAAAACAACTAAATGATTTCAGATAGCAATTATCTTCTGTTAACATAAGTGAGCATCAAAAAAATAGAATTAGGGATATTAATGCTATATAGATATTAAAGCTTCTACTGATACACTTGTATATACACATTACATTTCGTCGCTACAATGGAATTTACTTTTCAGTAAATGTGCACAGGATTATACAATATTAAAAATTGGTCTAACCTAATACAACAAATATCAGGGGCCCATGTGTAAATTTAGTATTTGTATATCCAAAAATATTAAGAAAAGAGCCAGAGCTATCGCTCACTGTATCTTGGAAATCTGGGAAAATGTTGATATTAGTTTAGCTATCTGAATGGTCAACAGTGTGTGGCTGCAGATGTCAGTGGAGACTCCACATTTCTCCCACCACATTCAATTTTTATCTCTACTTCCAAATGAATTCTGCCCACATTTTTCCCTCCCTGGAATAAAAAAAAAAAAAGACCTTTCTCCATTCCAGAATGGTTTTAAGGAAAACATCCTGGTTTCCTTACAATACATCATATTTTCATTTGAAACAGATAATTCATATTATTCGTGTGACACTGATCTGAAAGTCTATTACAGAATAAGAAAATATTTTTTATATATACCAGATATCTACCTAATATATTGTTTCTCTCCAATATTGAAGCATGTAAGGACCTTACAAGGCACTGCAGAATATTCTGTCTTCAAAATAATGTAAATAAATAAACTAATTGGCAACTTTACATGGCACTTCAGAATTTAGAAGTTGTCCAATATATAAAATATAATTTCTAGGAATATAACAGTTGGCAAATGTAAAGCAAAGTAGATCATTTTACCTCCACAATAGGATTTTAAACATACAGAAGTGTCTACAATCACATTCTCAATACATTAAAAATGCCAAATTAAAAGTGCAACTGAAAAAGAGTTTTCCCTTTGACTATAAAATCATCTCTGTTACAGCTGTATCAGTTTTTATGACATTCAAAGAACTGTTCACACATTCTAACAATATGGAAAACTTCAGTCCCAATACCGTTGGACGGTAACCAAGTTAGGAAAGGCTGGCGTATTGCACATTAACATCTCCTTTTTAGGAGAAGTTCTTCAGAGTTCTAGAGTCAGATCTTTTCCAATTCTGCTAATTGTAGCCTTTAACTGGAAGTACTTAGACTGAGCTAGCTCAACAATATGATTTAAGTTTTAAAAAAGCCAAAATACTTTTGACTCTATAGTTATCATTCAAGGAATCAGTGTAGATGCTCACCAAGCATATGGATCAAATCACACAGTGACTACAAAAATGGCTAATGGAAAAATGAATTATCCCTTACACTCTTAGAAGACCAATGAATGACAAAACTTAGCCATATCTGGGTGAAGTGGGAGCTTTTTAAAATCAATAGTATGGGCACTTAGGTCATAAACCTCTTCATTTCTAATAAAGAGCAAATCATTCTAAATTTAGAAATACATTGTTTTATAAATCCATTTTAAATACTGTACTAGAAAATAGTCTGAACATTCACCATATGCAGCAATTTTGCAGCATTTATGAAACAATGAAAAACACTTCTGCACAGCCTTAAGAGCCTTGCCTCATGTATAAAAATCCTACATTTCTGAAGGAAAAAATACCATGACATACTATGATAAATACTGTGATAAATACACAAATAGAACAGAAGTCATTGAGACTTGCTTCCAAATAAGTTCGTTGGCACTGTAGCCTTTAATAAACCCAATTCAATAGGATAATCTCATGTGAAAGCCTGAACCAAAGGCTGGAGGTTCTCAAGATAATAGAAACGCTGTTGCTCTTCCGTTCATTTCAATGGTTTCAACACAGAAGACTTCTCAATTGAAGGTATCCATGGCACATTTTCAAGCTTCAATTTGCATACTAGAAACTCAGTGGATAGGTGGCTGAGAGGAACATGAAAGGTGCTTTATTGCCTGATAACACTCTGGGTTGTGTATGCAATGCCTTCTGCCTGAATATGTTTTAGTATTGGTCCATATATATCCTTTGTCAATGGGACGATCATACCTTTGCTGTTAATTTCACCTGAAATACAAAATAATACAATTTTCTATTTGAACAAATTTTAGAGGGGCATAACAGCATAATAGTTCTATAACATTTCATTTAAGAAACTGTAGGTATTCATTTAATAAAAAAATTCAATGGAATTCTACTGGCAGTTAAGGCTTGCGTCTTTACTTATTCTTGAAAGCAAGTGTATTAATTTCAAGTGAACAATTAATTTCCTTTCACTCAGAGAAAGAGAAGTGAAAGAAAAAGAAAAATGGGGAACATACCGTACTAGGAATATGAGGACAGGATTGTTATGAGAAATTACTCCACACATATTTCTAGGTTAGAGCAACAGAATGTATCTTAACGAAATCTCACTGAGTGTAATCAAAGCCCTTTAAAATAAATAATTGGGCATTGAGGCTTAACTTACCACATAAATAGAAAGATATAATAGAAAGGAATAATACGGTAAATAAGTTGTGCTTTTTCAGGAGGCATTTTATAATAGTTAAAATATGGGAAGAAAGATACATACCTTCAAGAATCATCTTTGCTGCAATAGCAGTAGGGTATCCCACTGTTTTGGCCATCGCAGAATACCCTTTATCATCTCCATACACCACAAGGTTGATATATTTGTCTTCCAAATGACCAGAGGGATGCTTAATTCCTATTTCATTCCTCATAACTATCATATCTCGTTCTCCAGATCCTAAACAAAAGGAAATTGTTCTTAAAAAATTGACCAACTTGTGCATTAAAAGTGAATTGCAAAACTATTTCAAGAACAGCACTTTTACTAATGCTATATTGAGTAGTAATTATCTGTTATTCATAGACAATGTTTTTTTCAAAATACATTTTAAGTACAATAAAAGGATTCTAATAAAAAATTTAGCACAGAGCACTGCTAATCCACCTTTTGAAAAAGGGAATTGAATACATATCTTTTTTAAACAAGTTTTATTATTTTTTTCTTTTACATACATATTTTATGAACAGAGCGTTGACCAGGTCATATCGTATACATCTTGTAACATCGTTATATATTGATTTTTCTAGTCTATTCCAATCTTCCTTTTTGTTTTTTCCAAATACAATTTACATATTTCATTTCAGCCATATTATTCTTTTTCCCTACTTCTTTATCTTATCTTAATCTCTTCTTAATACATAATATATAAACAATATCACCGTCTACCCTTCAATTCCTAGTTTCTTAGCATAACATCAATTAATTATTTTATTTCTCCATTTATAAATTATATTTCTCAGAATCCCCATCACACTTTTTGTCTATAAAGAATGTGCTTCACAGAATTGAATACATATCTCCATGTATATCTGTATGTGTTGTGTTATTGCTAAATAAAGTTTCAATTGTAAAAAAAAATCTGTACTTACATTATGAAACTCAGTTATCATTAACTTTTCCGTATAATAAAAATGCATTAAAACAGCAGCTTAACTCCCATCCAAATCATACTAAAGATTCACTTCTCTACTTAAAAAGGTCATGTGATTGCTATTTACGCCCTTCCCTGCCAGATTAGGTGGGGGAAATATAGGTGAGGAAGCTGGCAGGAAGTTGCAGTCACATGAAGTTCTCACTTAATGGCCCTCATGGTCATCAATTAATGATCGCAATTGGAACTGTGAAAGTGGTTGCTAAGTGTTGCAACCAGTCACATGATTCTTTTGACTTATGACCTGTAATGGAATGTGTGAATGACCTTGGGGAGTGGGGGCGTTTGAGGGAAAGAAATAGGAAATGATCAAAGAGAGGGTAGAGTCACCACAAAATTAACAGTCAGAGAAAGAATTGAAAGTAAGATGGACCCACCCTAATTACCTATTTTTCAGAGTATAAAACACTCCGGACTATAAGACGCACCTAACTTTTTTGGTGAGGAAAACAAGAAAAAGAAATCTGCCTCTGCCTCCCAGCAATTTTGCCTCGTTGCAGCAAACAGCCTGCTTTACTTTCATTTTTGTTTTCAGCATAGCTTGATTAGCGCAAGGAAAAAAAATCTGCTCCCAGCAATTTACCTCTTTGCAGCAAGCAGCAGAGCCCGTGCAGCAATAGGCGATGGCAATCCCTGCAGCCTGAAACAGCTGAGAGTTGGGAGGCCGATCCAACAGACAATTTGTGCTAATTAGGCTGTGCTGAAGCTGAAATGGGCTGTTTCTTCTTGCTGCTTGCTGCAAGGAAGTAAATTGCTGGGAGGCAGAGGCCATAGGGTGGGGGCCAGTATAAGATGTACCCAAATTTTCACCCCCTTTTGGGGGGGGAAGGTGCATATGATACTCTGAAAAATATGGTAATCAGATGGTTAAAAGTGGCAGTAGGAAGTTTGCACTTTCAGATTTGCAAGGATCTGTTAATGGAGCCTTATAATAAAGTAGATCTATCTCATATGATCATGTGTCCTGCTTGATTACCTGAGATAGCTGGCAATGGCTGTACAGGGAAAATCATTCGAGGAGGTTAAACAATGTTATGCCCAGTCTGATATAAATCAGCACATGCTGGGAAAATAAATGTTGCTCTGAATGAAGGTAGCAGAATTATTATCAAATGCCTAGACACTCCCAGTCATCCAGGTCATATTTCATATTTCATGTCCCAACACTGGATCCTTGAAGACGTTTTGCTTCTCACCACATGCCTTAAACCTACCCCGCTAGGTAAAGATCTATCACCTAGCTGGCAATTGCCCTGCCTGCTGTTCACAGAGAAGCAGCAGCACAAAGAAAGAGACTCATTTCATCAATATCTAGACAGCACCCTCTCTATGGCCTACAACCAGCTCAGCAGAGATTAAAATCCAGGAAAAACTTCCTCAGGTCGATGGAAGACTTTGAAGAATTTGAAGCAGAGTGGATCTATGGAAAGCTACAAAGAACCAACCCTGGATGGAACCAATGGAGGAGCTTTAATCTGATGAAACCTGGGAAATAAGCTTCTGCTGTTTGCGATTGGGGTGACATGCAAACAACAATACATATGTATACCTTTGTTCCCCAATCAGTGTGCACTTTGAGAACCTCATGGCAACACAACAGAACGCAATTAATGTTGCTAGTTTCTGGGCAAGATTAATTTGTACATATTTTAATCTTGTATTTTATATTTTAAATTTTATGTCGTATAGTATGCTTTATTTTAATTGTGATGCTTCTGGCAACAATAAACAAACAAACCTGGGACGGCTGACACAACCCTGCTCCTTAACAACAGATTTTGAAGTCCCAATTAGCACTTAAGCGAGGACTATCTGGACTGTATCATTTGAATGGTCTGACCATCTCAATGCTCGGTTTCCTTGACATTAATTAAGACAGGTTGAATGAATCCATCTGGTAGTTAGATATTTCCTTCCTTTGTTTTATTAGCTTCTAGATTCCACCAAAAATAGCCGTTGAGTAAAATGGGTACATTCAGTGGTGGGATTCAATTTTTTTAACAACCGGTTCTGTGGGCGTGGCTTAGTTGGGGGTGTGGCTTGGTAGTCATGTGACCGGGTGGGCGTGGCTAGCTGGTCATGTGACCGGGTGGGCATGGCTATGTGCATAGGGACTACTCAGAGGACTGAAAAAAGTCATTTCTGACTGGTCCTTGCACTTTTGACCGGTCTTCGCACTTATGACCATCCTCACATTTATGCCCGTTGCGGCATTCTTAACAACCGTGTCAGTCATTTCACCACTACTTCTCTTCACCACAGTGACAAGATAGGGCACAAAATGTAAAATGTGAGGATAGTTGGAAGTTCAAGTTCAAGTCAAAAATAACTTTTTCAGCCCTCTGAGTAGTCCACATGCACATAGGGACTACCCAGAGGGCTGAAAAAAGTGATTTCTGACAGGTCCTCGCACTTTTGACTGCTCATCATTTATGCCCATTGCAGCATTCTTAATTAAATTAATTAAATAAAAATGACCGGTCGGAGGCAGTCCGAGGCGGACATTAGGGCCGGCTGCAGGGCAAGGTGATACAACTGGGGTAGGTAGGCCACTGCTGCCCAGGTGGAAGGCGGGCTCAGACCTACAGGACTGGCTGCAGGGTGAAGCGATCGGATGGGGTACGTCAGGGGTCTGCAACTTTAAACACTCAACCTTAAACATATGTAAACACTTAAACACAACCTTAAACCTGAGTGAGCATTGCCAACTCCATATCACTTACTCCCACCCAGATTTTGTGGCTCCCAGTATTTTCTTTTAAACAGGTATCTTTGTCTGTCTCTTTCATTTCTCTCATCTCTTTCTTTCTCCACTTTATCTCTCTTTCTCCCCCTTTCTCTCCTTCATCTCTCTTTCCCTCCATCTCTTTCTCCCCCCTTTCTCTCCTTCATCTCTCTTTCTCTCCATCTCTCTCCATCTCTCTTTCTCTCCATCTCTTTCTCCCCCCTTTCTCTCCTTCATCTCTCTTTCTCCCCCCACTTTCTCTCCTTCATCTTTCTTTCTCTCCATCTCTCTTTCTCCCCCCTTTCTCTCCTTCATCTCTCTTTCTCTCCAACTCTTTCTCCTCTTATGTCTGGGTGGCGGCGCCAGCGCACCTACCGCACTATCGGGTCATCCCTCGGCTTGGAGGCGGCACCTTAAATCTGCGCCCCACCGCGGGTGCGCCCACCGTCTGGTTGCTCTTACTGAGCTTAGCAATGGGGCAGTTGGCGCCCTTCCTCCTCCTGGAGCCCATTAGGATGCGGAGCTTCAGCTGCAGCCTGGGCAGCCAGTGTTCCGGGGTGGAGAAAAGTCGCGCGTCTCCCCCAGCGACTGAATGGGCTAGGGTAGGCTGGCGCCGCACGGGTGGGGGACGGCGCGAGGGGCGGGCGAGCCAGCAATTTAAGAAACGGTTCGGTGTGCTGCGAGGTCAATAAATTACAAAAAAACCGAACCATTTGTTAAATTGCTGGCTCGCCCACCCTTCACCCCGCCCCGCCCACCACTATTTATTGGCAATAAATAGTGGTGTGGAGGGGCGGGGCAAGGGGTGGGGCGAGCCAGCAATTTAACAAACAGTTCAGCCGAACCGCCTAGAACCGGCAGAATCCCACCACTGGGTACACTTAACAAGTGCTGAATGGCCACCACAAAAATGATTGGAAAATCAGACACGGTCACATGGTGACTCTGTTAATGACTGCAATGACTTAGGTCCGTAATTCCTGGCTCAATTACAGTTATAAATTGAGGACTACCTGTATTGGAAAATAAAACTATAGGTGAACAACTTGTCACCTACCATACGAGAGCTTTGCTTCCATGTGTTTGGCCAATGCATCCACTATACTATGTGCTTTTGGAACAGGTTCATCTCCAAGTAACCCCAACCTGAAAAGCAGATAAAAACAGGTAATGCCAAGAACAATAAGAAGACTTTTCTCAAGTGGAGATGTTCAACAGGTGTAAAGGGCAGAAGATAAATTACTTGAACTGTTTTTTTTTTATTCTTCCATATCTGAGTATCATTACAGCCACCCTGAAAATTATATTTTCATGGATATAGGTAGGCTATGTAACCTAAACTTACACAAATTTCTGAGACAATTTTTTTATTAAAAATTCACATCCTAAAATGTCAAACTAGGAAAAGAAGAATGAAAATCTATACCCTATTAAGTACATGCAGGATTGACAGAGATGTATGAATTTCATATTCTGCACAGGAATGACTGAGAAGCAAAATTACAGTCTTCGACTTACAACCATTTGTTTAGTAACCATTGAAGTTACAATGGCATTGAAAAAAGTGACTGACCATTTTCCACACATGAGCATCCCCCATGGTCATGTGATCCAAATTCGGACACATATTATATTTATCCCAGGGTCAAATGATCACCATTTGTAACCTTCCCAGACAGCTTCTGACAAGCAAAGTCATTGGGGAAAGCCAGACTGATTTAAAGAATGCATGATTCACTTAACAAGGTCATAAAATGGGGCAAAACTCACTTAACAACTGCCCTGCTTAGCAACAGAAATTTTGGCCTCAATTATGGTCATAAGTCAAGGGCTTCTTGTATGATATTAAACTTCTCCCCAAACCCTGAGTTCACCCCATATATTTATGAGGTGTACACCAATTCAGCACTATGGCATAAATAACAGATGAACTGCTATACAAAAGCATTTCTCTCAAGGAGTTTCAGGTTGCTGCCATGCTTTTAGACTTCTTGTGTACATTTGCTGTGCAGAGAAGGGACTCTATGAAGGAATAGAATAAATAATATAAATAAGATATGTAGCATGGAATTCTTAATTTTTCCTTTTCTTAGGGAGATATTTTCTATCCTAATGATTAAGCCTGACATCTAGGAATACTTTTGTGCCTTGGTACAAGCTATGATCTTTTGGGGGCAAACAGACTGTTCTGTTGATATCAGGCCTAAAATGAAGAATGATACATAAAGATTCTTCCAAAATGAGTTGTTGTTTTTACATTTATAGACATAATCCTGCCAGACTGAGGACTCTAGTATCTGTACCTCCAATTTACTCTGTAAACTATAATGATGGAGCTGTCTTCACCTCCTCCCTCCTACAGTCATACAATTTTGTGATCTTCAGTAACGCATTCTATATTGAGCCTATTCAGCAAAATCAGAATATTGCTGATATTTTTAGCTCGAGACTTGCCTTTTGCTCTCTCTATAATTAATCTCACTAATAAGGTTACTTTTGTTCTAAACATTATTACACTCCCCTTATAGTATTTGAGGGCTGGCAGCTAAAAAAACCCAATAAATTAACCTTTTCCAGGAATCTTGCAAGCAAATCCAGTACTGATTTATTCACTGAGCTAAACATTTCAAGATAAACATGACTAATTCACATTTTAAAGAAAAACAATATAGCAGTCCAGTATATGAAATATCTAAATGCTAGAAGTGGGGGGGGGAAGGAAATCCTACAATTTCTATCATACCATTCCACTGCTTCCAATTGTTTTTTGTTCTCATTCAGATGTTTGCAGACGGCCTGTTGGAGTTCATCATATTTGACAGAAGGCTGAAGTCCAAGTAACTTACACATTAGCTCTTTCTAAATACAAACAGTTTAAGAAAAAAGATTGAAATTCTGAAAACCAAGGTACTGAGGCAGTAGTGGGTTTCAATTTCATTTGCTACTGGTTCGCTCGTACACACGCACTCATGCGTGCGTGTGACACTTCTGCACATGCGCAGAAGTGTCCGGGCGAGTGGGCGGAGCCTCCTGCCACTGCCGCTACCGATTTGCCCAATCCAGGGCAAACCGGTAGCAACCCACCACTGTACTGAGGCCTTAAAAAATTGCAGAAAAAAATTATACCAAAAGAAACAGCAGGCAAGGAAAAATGGGTAACATATCAAGTTTTGTTAATACAGGAAAATTGAGAATTTGAAATCCTGAGAACCAATGACCATAGAAGAGATAGGCACCTCTGACCTGTAGACTTCAACTGCCACCCCTGCCATAGAAGGATTTATTTTTCAATAGTTTTCGTAAGCACAACTAAGGAAGAAGTTGAATATAGATAAAAAGCTAGCAGGTATAGAACAGATGATGAACATGTAATTGCTAAAATGTATACATGACTGTTGAGATTTGAAATGGAAGATGAATGAGTTAAAGAGTGCACGATAACATGAGCTAAGAAAATATTACAACATACAGATAGATCAATGGGAAATAATGTGGTTAAAAGAAATAAAATTTACACTGTCTTATAATTTAAGAGAGATTTTTTAATAAAATGATATACTGTAGGTATATATCACTAGAGAGGTTTTCTGACACATATCACCAAGAACACGAAGGGGCATTTTACCATATTTGATAGACTTGTGAAAAGGTTTTTTTTTAACCTGGGTGCAAATTCATATGCAGAGAATTTTAAAAATTTAATATTCCGCTAAAACCAAAACTTTTCCTAATAGGATTTAAGGACAGACAACTGGTAAAGACTCATGGGAAATGCAAAAAGACTATTATATACACAAAGATGGAAAAATATACAAATAGCCACAATGGAAAAGTGGATCAGGAAGATGGCAGAATGTGAAGAAATGGCTAAATTGAATTATTTGACTTAGGAAGGAGCAGTAACTACTTTTATAAAAGACTAGAAATCCTTTATAAAGTTTTTGCTGAAAATAGATAAAAAAGAACTGTTGATCTCTGGACTTACTGATTAAAAAGGGCTATAGATGGGAAGAAGGGAACTATGTTATGTAATTTGGGGGGATTAATTATGCTTGCAACCTCTGTAAAGAAGATTGGAGTTGCTTTTTTTCTTTCTCTTTTCTTGATCTATACTATAAAATTTTCTTCTGTTTTTCTTTTTATATACTTTTCTCTCTTCTATGTGGTTTTTTTTTTATTTTTCTGTAATTTTAACTTTGTAAAAAAATCTTCAATAAAAATTATAAAAGGCTGGTTGACACCAAAGACTGGGTCTCCTGAATAATGGCCCCTCTACCCAGAATCCCTCAAGAGAAAATGATTTTACAGGTTTGCTCTTATTTACACTAATTTAAAACAATACATTTTATAAACTTACTAAATTTACAGGAACTGATTGATTATCATACCATCCTCAGTTTTATTTCTCTCATTTGGAACGGGTATAACTTACCCATTTTACAGAAGGTGTAGTCGCACTAAGCATAGGGCAGGGTTCTTGATTTATTAATCCCAATTTCACAAAACCTTCTATAGCTTTACAGTAACCCTGGAAAAGACAAATGGAAAGGATTAGGAAATAACACAAACCTTCAGACCTACTAACCTAATAAGCATGAAAACAGCTCATGACAATATTGAGTCCATTGACTTTGCTTGTCAGAAGCCAGTTGGGAAGGTCACAAATGGTAATCCCAGGGCACACCGCAACGAGTTAGATGCCAATTGTCAAGAGCCTGGATTTTGATTACATGACCATGGGGAAGCTGCAACAGTCATAACTGTGAGCACCACCCATAAGTCACTTTTTCCAGTGCTGTTGTAATTTGGAACAATCACTAAACAAATGGTTGCAAGTTGTGTATTATCTGTGTATAAAGCAGGGGCTATTTTAAAAAAAGCCTCCTGTTCAGAATTAAAAACCAAAGAGCAATTACCATATTTTTCAGAGTATAAGACACTCCAGACTATAAGACGCACCTCCCTTTTTTGGTGAGGAAATCAAGAAAAAGAAATCTGCCTCCCAGCAATTTTGTCTCGTTGCAGCAAACAGCCTGCTTTATTTTCATTTTCGTTTTCAGCATAGCTTGATTAGCACAACAAAAAAATCTGCTCCCAGCAATTTACCTCCTTGCAGCAAGCAGCAGAGGCCCGGACAAAACAGCTGAGAGCAAAACAGCTGAGAGTCGGGAGGCCAATCCAATCAATTTGTGCTAATTAGGCTGTGCTGAAGCTGAAATGACCTGTTTCTTCTTGCTGCAAAGCAGTAAACTGCTGGGAGGCAGAGGCCAAAGGGTAAGGGTCAGTGGGTGAGCAAGGCTACATTCGGTGTATAAAACGCACCTAAATTTTCACACCCTTTTAGGGGGGGAAAGGTGTATCTTATACTCCAAAAAATACAGTAACTAATCTTTTAATTGGTGTGGAAATACACCTTCAGCTCTCTGACACAGGCACGTATTACAAACCACAATGATGCAAAAATGATGATGTATGCATTATGATATCACAACACAAAAGCCCAGTCTTTCATCCTTTTGTTCCATAGCCCATGCAAATACATAATCCATGTGGTTTGAGTTATGACATCTATTTTGCCATTTCCCACTTCCTCTGTGGGTGCCCATGCTCTCTCTATGATCAATCACACTTCTATGATGCCAAATGTACCTACCGTGTACCTTAAAGTTCCTCTTAAAAGGGTGTGAGCTGATTGAATTCCGTAAGGTTCAGCATATTTTGTACTGTCCCTGTTTGGAAAACCTTCCAAATTTAATCCTGGGAAAAAATCCATGACAGTAACAGAATCAAGCAAAGCTCCTCCGGCTGGAATATTAATAATCTAAGGATTATGAAAAATAACAATCATGTAAGTGTTATTATATCTGAGGGCAGGGACCACCAAACTTTGTAAGCTCCTCTTTATAAATGCCTGTCTCCCACAATTATGAAGGCTGAGCATCTCTCCCAAATCTTATTTATGGCCACTTCCTTTCAGGTCCCTGCTCTGTCCTTTCGCAACACCTTCAGTGTGCTACATGACACACATAACCTGCATTCCCTTAATAGAAACTTTCTTAAGACAAATTTTGACATTGCCTCAAATCTTACTTTTCATGCCCTAAAAGCCTAAATTACTAACATAATCTCATATAATAACAAAAGTTATTACTATGCCAAATTGTTTGTTCCTCTTCAAATTTGTCCCAATGGATGTGGCTGAATTCAAAGGAGATTTAATTCAGAATTAGGAGAAATCAGCCCTTTCTCGAGCTGATCAATGTTTTGCTTTTCTTTAAAACAGTCTCCATGACAATTATAGCAGCATGAAGACTCTTCTTGCTTTCGTATTGTTTATCGAATTTATCTCCCCCATAGAGTGATTTCTTCCTTGATCACCTAACTACATAACAATTAGGTGACCATTGTCCACTGATTATTCTAACAGGAAGGAACTAGACCATGGGTGTCAAATTTGTGGCATCATAGCAGCATCACATAATGTATTGTAACTTTTTTCCCCTTCGCTAAACTTGGCATGGGCATGGCCAGTGCTTCACACATCTGGCCCATGGGATGGGAGATTGACACCCCTGAACTAGACAATTTAGTTAATAGAACAGGTGATTGACAGCTAAGGCTACATTTCCTTTAGCCATGGATGACACGGGAAAGACAACTTTGGAAAGGGGTAGTGATACAAAAATGGCTGTGCTTAGATTGGCTCAGTTATATCTGCCCCTGCCTAACTGAAAAAGAAAACATTCCATTAAGAACTAACTTTGTTCACTTCAGAAGAGTTTTCAAAACTCCTCAACCTGATATACCTATTAGCCACCTTTTCATTTTAACATATATATATGCATACACATGGAAACCGGTTTGATACAGTGGTTAAAACCACTAAGCTAGAAACCAGAGTTCTGATCTTGCCTTAGGTATGAAGCCAGCTGGATGACTTTGGACTTTCTTTCAGTCCCAGAAGAAATGCAGTGGCAGACTATTTCTAAAAATGTTACAAGAAAGGCGTGGACTTGAAAGCACTCACACATACAAACAAATGTATATACTGTTAGAAAGAAATTACGTCACCTCTCCATCTTTTAAATAGGTTGCAGATTTAACTGTGTTTAGTAGGACTCCCTGTGGACTCCAGCTAAATTTATATCTCAGGGGGTTGTCAGAATATTCAGGAGCAGGCAAGCCTCCACAGAAGGAAGTGTAGGAGATCACCTGGAGTTGATGAAAATGAAGTTCTCAATTTAAATTTCTGAATTTATTTAATGTAGTCTAACTCTATATTTCTGATTAATCTAGTTTTGCAGTATGTCGACAGAAAGACATCTAAGACATTTTATACAGTTTTCTTTAGAAATTCATTCATTTAACTTTTATAATGTCTAGTAACATAAAAGAATTAAAAGTTAACTTAGGGTCTTCTATTCATATAAAGCCTGCACATTCTAAGCACAAACAAATCACAAAGTGAATTCACTGCAATCCCATAGCTATCGATGAGCTTCAGAAAAAGAAACGGGTAGACATGAAAGGGATTCTACTACACACCACTCTGAAAATGATGGGATTTATTATAAATGCATTAAAATTACAGCAGCTGCATATTGTTGCTTTCTGGGGGACTTAATCTGCTCCTCAGGCTATGGACTTTGCTCGGGTGAAATTCAAAATTTAAGATTCATAGGAATTTGTCTTTTCCATTTTGTCTTTGTGTGTGGTAAAAATCTGATGCTTCATAGAAAAAGCAAAGGAAAGAGGAAAGCTTCCCAGTTTTTCTAAGGAGGAAGAGGAGGATAAAAACAAAACTGGGGACAAGGAGTGTGGGCGATGACATGGATTCTTTTTTTAGTTAGTCGAGCTTACCGTAGCACCCACTTCTTTTGCTTTATCAATACATTCCATTGCCAACATATGATCAAGGCCAGGATCCAAACCAACTTCGCTTATAATGGCAATGCCAGCTGCCTCTGCGCTGTAATACAAGGAAAGCTGCCAGGTGAAAGGCAACAGCAAGATATCTCTACAAACGACAGCACGGGGGTTAATTTCACAGCGTCATGTTGCCTTCATGTAATGTATTGCAACGTTTTTTTCCCTTGTGGAGCTGGGGTGAGCATGACCTGCATGTGACACATCTGGCCCACGGGCCACCAGTTTTGACACCCCTGAACTTCAGGTAACCCTCGACTTACAACCTTTCGTTTAGTGACCATTTGAAGTTACAACAGCACTGAAAAAAGTGACTTATAACCATTTTTTACACTTACCACCATTGCAACATCCACATGATCAAGTGATCAAAATTCAGATGTTTGGCAACTGGTTCATATTTTGATGGTTGCAGTGTCCCAGCATCATGTGATCATCTTTTGCAACCTTCTGACAAGCAAAGTCAATGGGGAAGCCAGATTCACTTAACAACTAAGTTACTAACTTAACAAATGTAGTGATTTACTTAACATTTGTGGCAAGAAAGGTCCTAAAAGGGGAAAACTTACTTAACTGTCTCACATAAATTTTGTGTTCAACTGTAATTATAAGTCGAGGACTACCTATATTCCACTGTTGATTGAACTCAGTAGCTCCCAAACCATCCTCTAACACAGGGATTTCCAACCTTGCAATTGTTAAGAAGTGTGGATTTCAACATCCAGAATTGAAACCCATCCTAGCCGAGGAAATCTGGGTGTTGAAGTCCATACGTCTTAAAGAGGCCAAGATTTAAAGACATTGCTCCAGCAGGCAGGGTCCATACAATTCATTGTATTTCAAGTTGTTTTCAAATATCACTGCAGTGAGTTGAATGGGCTACACTTGATTTCTTCAGTGAGAGGAATACTGGTTTACATGTGCTTTCTACACACAAAAAATTATCTGGAAAACAAGTTTTTAACCTAAATGACTTTCTTTCAAACAGGGTGCCCAACTTTCGATTCCAGGTCATATAGGTAGTCTTTGATCTTCCTTCCTTCCTTCCTTCCTTCCTTCCTTCCTTCCTTCCTTCCTTCCTTCCCTTTCTTCCCTTCCTTTCCCTTCCCTTCCCTTCCCTTCCCTTCATTCTGTACCTCCCTATTATAACTGCCAAAAGTCATGGGTATGGGTTCCCAATGACTAAGTGTTGCCACCAAAAAGCTGTATATCTTAAGCGATATAATCCAGCCATGGTTGGCAAAGGATTTTGAGGAAAAAACCCTGAGGCACTGCAGAGTTGTCACAAACCTTGCCTCATTTGTATGTTTGTCACAAGATGGGAGCAAAGTTGTTACTTAGCCATGCTGGATTTTGATATTCTGATTAAAATGGTGAATTTCTGTGCCTGGAGATAATCCACATTTAAGTCATTTACCTGGCTTAAACTTACATTCAGCTTCAAGAATGATGTTAAGAAATTTGCAGAGGATGCTAAGTGCTCAAACATGGTGGGTCATACCTTTTCTGTAGCTCTTTCATTTCAGGCGTCAGGTAACTCGCGGTCACCAAATTCACTCTGCTGTCAATGCATTTCTTAGCAACCAGAGGATGGAATGAATATGGCAACAAACTAAAAACAAGAGGGTGGAAAAGTGAGGGCAAGGTCAGCACTAGAAAATGCCAATTCTTTTCTATGCTGTCAAAACAGGCAGAAAACCCAGGCCAATGTTGTCTCATTTCTAAAGAGAAAGGTAGCCCATAATTACTGATTTCTATAAAATCAGTTTAATTGGAAAGGTCATTCTCTGACTTTTAAAATAAGGTTACAAAGTGAAAAGAAAAATAACTTTTTTTCACGCATACTTACATCCACAAATAGCATTCAGTATCAAGGTTTAAGTAGGAAATACTTGTCAGATTTTTTTAAAATAAAATTTTCTGAGAAATGGACTAACTTGTTTGTCTCTAAATACGAACTGCTCTAATTTATTTTTCAAACGCTATTAAGCAACACTTTTGCAACAATATATAAAAATTGCTAAATGGAATTTTGAGAGGGCTAGGGCACATGCTACATATGTAATGATCCAGGTTTAAATCTGGAATCTCTCTTGAACATTTGTAGGTAGAAGACCTATCTATACCTTGTCATCTTTCTGCTCAATCATTATGGGAAATCATTAGCTGTCAGTGCTAACTCAAATAGACCAATATTTAATTAAATGTGCGGCAATTAATGCATTTAGTTCTTGCTACATGAGCTTTCTTGTGTATGCGTGTTTGCACGGATACTCACACACCCACACATACTTCTTTGGTTTTACATAGTCCACTGAAATCAGAATTATGAACTTTTTCAGTTACTATGACAAATTTGAAATTGAGTAAACTGGGTTTAAAATAGTAGAAGGCAGAGTTGTTAGCAGAACTTGATTTAGTGTATGTGCATTGGGATTTTTAATTATGCATAAGATGTTCCAGCTTTTGTATTTATTATGTCTCTTTTTAACTGTATCTTTGTTGTTTTATAGTAGTTTTTATTGTTTTCATGCAGTTATTTGCTTCAGATGTACAGCCATACAGTACATTTTTAATAAATTAATTAAATAAATAAATAATATCAGTGAGTGAACATGGGCCAGTTATTATTCTTCTCTCACGCAGATGTTGTTAAGAATAAAATGGGAGGGAGGGAGGGAGTTTATATCTCATTTTTTTCTCAAACTGTGTTGTTCCAGATGATGATCTTCCATCAAGCTCCATAAAAAACATCAAGTTGGGAGAAATTAGCATATATAATCCTGAGTTCTTTGGGGAAAAACCACCTGAACCAGAAAATGTAGTGAATGTTTCGAGTAGCCTGGAGCATGTTCTTAGTGTAAAAAAAAATGTTTTAAATAATAATAGAAAAGGCAACATCTATATAAGACCAAATGTATTATCATATAATCTTTTGTGAATTTCACTATATTTCATCAGAGTATACTTATGAGAGATATTAAGATATACATTTTGACTTTATTTTTGTGATTATTTTATCATTATAATTCCTTTTTATTGTTTAATGCTAACATTATCTAATGATGGGGCTGATATTTTGGAGGTAAACACCTAAAAGGTTTCAATAAATAGAATTCCAACATGGGTGATTGCTAGGAATCAGATGCTTAAATTATCGAGCCTTATTCTGGAACAGTTCATTTTCTGAAATTGATGATCAAATACAGACCTAATAACAAGATTATGTTTCTTCACCAATGATGATAATCTCTCATCTTCTGTGATGTTCATAAAGACGGGAACAACGTTATTGTATTTCTTGGACAGCTGCTGAAGCTGAGTCTTCATGATGGAGGCTATTGGAGAGTGCAAATGATAGATGAAAAAGACCGGCTCCCACAGTATTTTTAACCTCTATATTATCTTTGATTTGAGAAGTATGCTGCCTCTCAAAACCAGAACTGTAGCTTAGCGTTAGCAGGATGAGATCAGGAAAACCTTGTTCTCATGCACTCCACTGAAACAATGTCAGAAAGTTTCACATCCTTATCAGATTAGGCATAGCTTGCTGAGCCATCCAGAAAAGAAGGGGATTATCTGTGAGATATAAAGCCCAACTGGTCATGTAAATCAATAATGGGAAATTGTTTGATACTTTAGCCATCACAAGTTGGCAAAATTATTTTTCTTAGGCAATAAAATAGGTATAATAAACTTCAGTGATTTGCAATGGTTTCTGAAGGCAGTCATTATAACAGGGAGGCAGCATTTTAAGATGAAAGGAGAACGAGGTATCAAATGGATTAGAGCAATAAAACTTCAACAAACAAGGCTTATTGCTGGAAAATATTATTTGTAGAATCAGGACCCAAAAGTGAATGTTCTCTAAAACCATCTTGTGGTACATAGTGGCAAGAACAGAAGGAGGAGTTCTGATCAATATTTAACTAAAGCTAAACTAATCCATGCAGGCAAAGCAGTACCTGTTCTAGGACAAAGGGTCACCGAAGAAACTGTTTGGAGGGGAAAGAAATCAAGAGTATCAACAAATGAAAATAATGAAATGATGGCTTAGTCATTCTAAGCCATTCAGGTCAACTACTCCCACATTCTCCACCAGGCAGAGATTTAATGTGGGTGACACCGTAAGCAGCCAGGTGCATTTTAACTCAATTTGCTAGCAAATGCCATAAGGCTCTGGATCTTCAACTAAATAAATAAAGCAAAAGGGGAAAAAAAACCACCCTAGAATTTTATCAGTCATGGAGAGATGTTGATAACATCACTAAACAAAATTTTAAAAAATTGAAGAGTAATCACAGTAAAGAAGAGCTAGCCCAAGATTCCATCCAAATATCAATTCTGTTTAAAATCTTAATTCTGCAATTTTAATTTTTTTTTAAAAAAAATGCCAGTATTGGGAAAGTTAATTCCAAAGGAACACAACATATTTCAGGGAGAAGATCTAGCAGCACATTAGAAACATCAATGCACACAGGTATATTGGGTTAATTTCCATCTTAGGTTAAGTATCTCAGATGTTTTTTTTTTAATTTATTTATAAACATCTATAAACCTCAGTCATAGAAGCAACTCTAGACAGCTTCCATATTAGGATTTTTAAAAACCCACCACATAATAATCAAAAACAGAGCACTGAGGAAGAGCAAAGCAAATATTCACACATGCAGGCCTGAAGATGTACAGAACCCCTTGGCACTGAAACAGAGGCTTGCCTTCTTCTGCTTTTACCCATTTCTTGTTGTAATTCATAAATTAGTAAGTGTAGTTGTTGTCATAAGATTTAGTGTTTTCATGGTAGGATGCTTCTGTGAGAGAGATGCCCTTCTGCAAGTAAAATCTATGTTCATTCCACCCAATGGCCTGCACAGGTAGTCCTTGAGTTACAACCATTTGTTTAGTTATCACTCAAGCAGCACTGAAAAAAAGTGACTTATGATTAGCTCTTGCACTTGCAACCATTGCAGTATCCCCATGATCAAGCAAAAAAAAAATAAAAATTGGGCACTTGGCAACCAGCATGTAATTACATTGGTTACAGTGTCCCAGTGTCATGTGCAACCTTCCCAGTTGTCAATAGGGGGATCTAGAACGACTGCCTAACTCAGTTAACTGCATTGACAACCATGATAAAAAAAGATTGTAAAATTGGGCGTGACTCTTAACAACTGACTTGCTGAACAATTTGGTCATAAGGTAAGGACTACCTGTACCCCAGCCAAGAACAAACAGAAGGAACAAAGAGACAATCCTTCTCAAATAAATGAAAAATTGAATAAATGAAACTCCCCTAGTTTCAACAATGCTGAGATTTTAGGGTTATAACCTTACTTACAAACCTGCTGTTATTTCAACATTGGGATCTCTTGTAAGATATTCTATTACAGGCTCAGAAACATATCCAGATCCAAGTATTAAAACCTTCTTCTTCTTATCCATGGTCAGGGATTGCATATATTCCCTACAATATATATACAATTTAAAGTAAATATCAGTAAAATAAGCATGAAAATTGTTAACATTATAAATTAGCTTTAAAAACTTTTGATTACTAGGATTTTATTCCTTCAGAGCCCATATGAAAATATTTTCAATATTGCATTTGATGGTGAAAAATGGTCAGTTTGATAAGTGTGCAAATTTATACCTCTATATGCCTCTACTAACTCTAGCAGTAGCTTTACACTTACAAGGTTACAGTGAAATCAATATATATTTCTTTTTGCTGCCATCATAGTATCTACACTTATTATTAAATACAGCCCAATAGATTATTGCTCTATTGATCAGTGAGACTTGTTTAAATATAGGTGTAAGAATCTTTTAGCTAGCCAGTCTGAATTCATTCACAAAAGGAAAGATGATAATAGACAATAGGGTTTAATCCCACAAATTTTACTACATCATCTCAACTCCATTAGGACAACTCATCTTGCCACAACCCAAAACTTACAGAGACTACAATGGCAGCATTAAATGTATTGCCTGAGGCCAGGAGTGTACAACGAAAGACCCAGGGCTGCATGATATTGCTGGACGTCTTTCCAAAATGCAAGACCAGTGCAAGACCAGAGGTTATCTCCCCTTACGCAACATGGAAGCCCCTCCCTCCAAGTGGGGTACTGAAACAAACACTTCTACAGAGAAATAGAATCACTAAGGTATTAAAACAAGCCTCAATTATCACTTACAATCCCTAGAACCGTGATGGCGAACCTATGGCACGGGTGCCACAGGTGGCATGCAGAGCCATATCTGTGGGCACATGAGTGGGCCCTAGGTCCAGCATGTATGCATGCACCAGCCAGCTGGTTTTCAGGCCTTCCGGGCCCACTGGAAGTCAGAAAACGGGCTGTTTCCGGTCCCTGGGGGGGGGAGGCCATTTTCGCCCTCTCCAGGCTCCAAGAAAGCCTCTGGAGCCTGGGGAAGGTGAAAAATGGGCCTACTGGGCCCACCGGTAACCTTTTTGCTGTCGTGTGCCAAAAACGGGGGGAGCGGGTCACATGCGCATGCGCGGGGGGGCGGGGCATGGAGAGAATTGAATTATGGGTGTGGGCACGCATGTGGGTGACCCCCACACACACACTCCCCCTGCTTTTGGCATGCGACAGCAAAAAGGTTAGCCATCACTGCTCTAGAAGGTTCTCTGTCCAAAATTGCTAAAAATCGTAACATGTTTTTTCTGAATTGTGTGATGGGAAATACACAGAAATATAGCCTAAGTCTTAACGCATGATTGACATACATTATAAAACAAAGAAGAATCCAAATCCCTCAAAAAACCCAAGGGGAAAAAGATGAAAAAAATCAGCTGCTTTGCACCATTACTTCTCCCACTGTGATCCTTGGCATCTTGCTAAATGTTAAATTTGGACTCTGAATGTGCAATAAAGGTGGGAACCAGCATCTTGGGTTCAAAAACTAATGGGCAACTAATTTAACCCTTTCAGAGTTAGTGTTATATAAGGCCACTTCATTATTTAATCATGTCAGAAGCATCACAATTAAAATAACGCATGGTATATTATATTTAAAATATAAAATACAAGATTAAAATATGTACAAGTTAAACAGATATTGCCCACAAACTAGCAACTGTTATATTGCCATAAGGTCCTCAAGTATGCATTGATCAGGGCACAAAAGACATATGTGTTGTTGTCCGCATGTCGCCACAATCACAAAATGCAGAAAGCACTTTACTATATCAATTGAATTCTGCACTAAATTGAATTGCCTTCAAATGAATCCTTCAAATCAATGACAATGTCACCTTCAAGTGAATCGTTATATACCACACATTTCAGTGGCAAGAGACTGTAATCCAGATGATCAGATCTAAAAGTAAACTTTGGACATTTTCCCAAAGAATCACAAATATCTAATCATTAGTGGTGACACTAGAAGGAATGGTCCATATTTGCTCCTTTTGTTTTCTCATGACTTGACATAGACATGTTGTGATTGCTATGTTAACCTCGTCACATAAAACAAAACATTCATATTAGCATGCACACATAGACTCAATAATTTTACACTTGAGATTAATATATTCTGAAGAGGGAAAAAGTACTCTGTGTATTACCTGTTCTCCCTCAGTTTCTGGATATATTTATATTTATCAGTCAGTGAACCATTGGATGTTATCACTGCCTAGAAAGGTATAGGAGAGACATCATTATTCTTTACATTTGACCTTGGCATGCCAGATTTCCTTTTTAAAGTGTGTGGAAGAAAGACAATTGATTTGTAAGACTTACATCTCTAACTACAGGTGAGTAATTCTGGCTTTCCAGGGGTTCTGAAGCATCAGAGAGGAGCTGTGGAGAGCAAGGTTTTCTGTTAGAATACTTGCTTTCACATAGACACACATCCTCAGATATGTAATTACCGTATGTTGGACAGGTAAGAGAACCTTGGGGAAAAAAATATTAAAAACATAGGAACTGTCAAGACAGAAATTCAAATGAAAAAGCTGGCTGAATAGTAGCCACGTTATTTTGAAAATGAGAAATTTTCTGGAACGTTAATTGGCAATTAAAACTAGGATTTACTTCTCCACATTTTAACTTAATACCGTATTGACACCACTGAGGTGAAAAGTACACAAGCACAATATATTACAAAAGCTGGAAGAAAAGAAGAAAAGAAGAATGACAAAATACAAACAAAAAGCCAAATATACAGTACAAGACATGCCTTTTTGTACATTCCCTGATAATTACAGGTTTTATCTAGAAGGCAAGAGACACAAGAACTATAATTCTTAGAAAGTAACATAAAAGATTATTCTTTTTGCTCTTTATCTCTAAAAGTTTATCCTAGTATATAATCTTCCTCTTAATTATCCTCTTTTGGCTGTTAATCACAGCATAGTCTTCTTAGGTTTTACTGTTATTCCCAGTATAATCATCATTTTTGCTGTCAATCCCAGCATAATTATTTTTATCTTTACTGTTATTCCCAGTATAATCATCTTGTTTTGCTGTCAAACCCAGCATAATTTTCTTAATATTTTACTGTTATACCCAGTATAATTCTCTAAGTTTTGCTGTCTATCCCAGCATAATCACCTTAGTTTGCTGCTTATCCCAGCATAATCACCCCTTTTTTAATTTTATCATCCATCAATACATTACTTGTTAATATTCAATCACATTATCATTATCATCTTTATAACAATTTAACATTGAGGCTTAGTTCTTAATCCAACCACTTCCTTATATAAATTAGTAAATTTCTGTTAATATATTCTATTCCTCACATACTCTAATTTTTTCCTTTATTTCAGCTTTTTACATATTATATCATATTCATCTCATATTCATATTCATTTTTATTAATCTATAAAAACCTCCTTTTTATTATTACTATCCATCCATTGCTTTATTTTTAATCACATGGTTTCTATCTTCTTTTTTTCAGCCATGTATAAATCATTCCTCCTTTCCTTGTCTGTAACAAATATTCCATTATTCTTTTTGCTCTTGAGCAAGATTTGGAAAGGAATTAAATTTAACAGGGATAAGTTTTAATATCACAACAGAAAAGAAACTATTCAGGAAACTGTAAGAAACCAGCTTAACAACTGGATTTTACAGAAGCACTGTTTAAAATAGGGATAGGCAAACTGATATCACACCAATGACTGTGAATGTTGTAGTTCTAATATATTTGAATAATTCCTTATAGCAAAAGAATAACTTGCATTGGAAGCACCATAAAATACTTTTGATGTGCTATGAAGACACTTGAAGTCCATTTCTAGCCAACAGAATAGCTTAGTTTTATATGAGATTATCTCAAATTCAGTCACTGGTGTCTCCATTTTAAAATGTATTCAGAATCCAAATTGATTAAAATTTGATATTTAACATATATTTATCTTTAGTAGCTATTCTGAACCATTCTATCCTCAAAACAGTCAATAATGCTGCTATATATTTAGTTTATTGTTTTCATTTCACACAATTTGTGATTACAGATATAAAATTGCAGCCTAGTATCTAGAAAACTACTGCAATAGTCATGTCCCTCTCCAGATAAGACTTGTCAACCACAAATCTTTCCTAACCTCTATTTACTGTATCAGTTGTCAGAAAATTGCTTTATCAATAAAGATAAAAATAAAATCAGGTTAACCATAGTTCCCAGAGGCATCCATAGGATTGGAGGCCTTTGTCAATTGTCAAAAGCTTTGCTACATTTTTGTGATGTAAGTGTGTCATACCATTAAAAAAAAAGCCAATAAAAAAGCTAAGAAAGAAACAAAAAGATCACATTCCACTCTAGCAACCAAGGAGTTAACAGCAGACAACACCTAGGGGGAAAAAAACACCCACTATCCTAATCAGAAACTACCGAGAAGAAAACCGCATTCCTATCAACACTGGTAGGATAAGCTACTACATATATAAACAGGGAGCAAACTCTCACTACTTCTGATGATGTTACCTATCAGGTAATAAAACATCTGAAAGCAAACAACCAAGTTCACAGAGCACCAAGCACTCCACAAATAGAGTTATTACTTTACCCAACTCTACCCAAAATATATTTTCAGTGCAAATTAAAGCTGTTTTAAATTTTGTAACCACTGTATTGGAGGTTTTCAGCTGCCTAATTTTTCACTGGTTTTACCATAGTTATTTAACAGCCGAACTTTTTTCAATCTAATAACATCCATTTTCCACTTTAAATATCACAAATGTAATGATATTGTGATATCATATAGCCAATCAGATTGGGCTATAGTACAATATTATCCATTGCAAATTTTTTTTTAAAAAAAAATGTTTCACTAGCCACCTTTTGAAGAACTGCCCAAATTAACATAGATGAAACATATCCAGAAAAGAGCCATCATAATTTAGGTAGGAAGACAACTTCAATGAAATGGCTATAATATGTATGCAACATTCATCTCCTACATTTTTATCCCCAGATGATGAATTTCTCTCAAGCAGTGTGAGCAGAGGAAGAAAGAAAAACTGTCCAACAATATTGTCAAGTTTCCGAAAGATGCCCTAATTAATTATGAGCCATGATCCAAACTTCAAAGGAAATATATTCATTTATTAGGAGCACCATTCCGGCAATACTCGGATGCAATTAGAACTGATCCTATGTAGATTTACGTTCCCCTATGACCCTGTCTCTCCCCTCCTCTCTGGCCATGTCATAAATCACATTCTCCAATTAACCACTTTGGCTGGCTGTGAAACCTAACATCCTCCTTCTGATTGCGGTCAGAAAGAATGTATGGAATTCACTTCAGTTCTCCCTCCCTCCTGCTCATGGCAACTTGAAAGCTTTGCAAGTTGACAAATATTTGAAAATATTAAACCATTTGAAGATATTAAACTTTAGCAAGATGTAAAAAAGAGTATTTAGAAATCATTTCATTAAAGCCTGTTACATTTTACAGCAGATTTCTTTTATTTAGAATAGATCAAAAGGTGCATCCTCTACTTACCATTTCTTCAATATAAGGGAACAGCATGTCTCCAAAACATTCTGTTGACTCTATTGGAAGCTGAGCTGGTAGGTTATCAATAGAACACATCAAAATCCCAAGTCCTTCCACACTGGAAGAGAGAGACATTTCATTCCTTGTAATGAACAGTCAAAAAGGTGTCATGGATGGCATTGGGGAAAAGAACAACCGTCTCTTAAGATGGAGGAGGCCACCTATCAGATAGGGTCTATGGCAGGGGTCTAAAGCAGGGATCTCCAATCTTGGCATTTTAAGACTTGTGGACTTCAACTCCTGACTGGGATTTGCAGTCCACAAGTCTTAATGTTGCCAAGGTTGGAGACATCTGGTCTAGGGAATGCTTGGGAGTGTGACCTATTCCCAAATCTGACTTGGATCTTAAAGTAAATAGTACACAGAATAAAAATTTCATTTCTCTTGGAAAAAAGTATTTTTAATTTTTGCACACTATTTAGAGAACCCTTGCCCTGCCAGAATGGTTTGAGAAGGGGCTCATTTACAAATGATTGCCACGAAAGGGGTGGTTAAGACAGGAAACTTATTTCCAGAAATTCCTTAAACTAAATTATTTTGGCATCCCATCTTAGTTAAGTAAAGGATTGCAAAACCATAATAAAAAACAAAAAAAACCCCTGAATCATCAATTCAAAAGCAAACCAGTACAAATTTAAAAATAAAATCTCTTACCTGCCATGATTAATATGCTGGTCAGCATCATACATACAGAATGGACTATCAATTGTTGTACATTCTGTCATAAATTCTATAGATCCTTCAGTGTCTGCTGAGATGTCACATATTGCAACAAGTCTAGAATTGATCGTAACAAAATAGTAATCCATTGACATAAAAAATCCCTCAGAATAATGAATGAAATGTCATTATGGATAAATTTAAGTGGAAAAAATGCTATCTTCATAAATTATGAGAATTATATTTCTGAATATCTAGCCTCTAAACCATGTTCTAATTGGACAGTGTGTGTGCTCAACATTACTTAAAGCTTATACAGTGAGGTTGGTTTAACTACATTCATCTCAGTAAGATTGTCATTCATTATAAAAAAGAATAAAACTGGAAACTTGAGAAGCATTACCATTCCAGGGTAAATTTATTAAAAAAGGAATGAAAGCAGTGGGAAGAATGCTAACACAATGCTAGTCATCAGGTAAAGTTTAGATGTAATATGAATATTTTTTTCCTATTTATTTTGGTATTTTTAAAGGTATGTTTAAAATCAAGACTGCAGAATGTGACATGCCTAAAACTAATGAAATCATAACACAATAACCATACATAGTAGGTCATATAAGACAGAGATAGATAACTGTTATCATCCAAATAGTTTGGGTTCATTTTTACCAGTACCAACCACTATGGCTAGTGCCAAGAGACTGTATAAATCCAAACTATCTGAGGTCACCAGGTTACCTACACAAGATAGAGAAGTGCAGCTGAATCCATATGCATACCTGAACTCAGTAGAGAATAAAATATTATTATTAGCAATAACAGAATAGTTACTGCATTGGTAGGAATAGATTAGAAGGATTCTAATTTAGTCAACTATGTCTTCAGCACAGAATTATTCATTAGAAATGTAATTCCAGGTTCCTTCCCAGAAAACCCTGACAACTGAGATTAAATGCATAGCTTTCTAGAGTTGACATATTCTATTCAAACTCAAATTACTGGTCTATAAATCTTGACATTATTTGAAGACATGCTATTTGTAAGGATTTTAACATCTTCAGATTGGCAAGGAACCCCACGATGTTATCTATCAATAGGCAAATAAATTTTCATCTAAACTGATCTGCAGTTTTTAAACTGTCTCGCTTGCCCTAACAAGTTTAAATGATATTTGCCCTATATTTGTTGCTGGCAAGCCTTTTAATGTTCTTCTTGTAAATTGAGGAAAGCTATTTTATTACTATTTGTCTTTATTGGACAGGAGAGAGATATTTAACTAGCAACTAGATAAATTAATTGTCACCTATTACTCTTGTCAGTCTAGCCAGCATGACTAATAATGGGAATGATGAAGATAGCAGCTAAAGAAGATAACTTGGCATCTGGCTATTTTGGATATATTAGGGCCAGTTCTCCAATCATCATCTGTCTTGCAACCTACAGCACCACCTCTCATCGTGTTCCAGAACATCTGAGCATCTTCTGGAGTAATGTTAAAGTGGCATAGGCAATCACAAAAGGAAAACGGGGATTAAAGGGCATTGCTTTTCCAATGCTTTCCCAGTTTTTTTTTCAGTGCCAGTCAAGTTCTAAGTCTGCTTCCAACTCCATCCATTCCACTGTGATACTGAGCTGGTTGTTTCCAAATCATGTCCTAATTAAAACATCTTACTTGTGTGGCAATTCAGGACAGCCCTCAGTAGCAGCAGGAGAAGGCTGGAGAGGAGTCAAAAGCTTTTGTGCATCCTGTCTGTTTAGCAAGCGTGGAGTATTCTGCTCCCAGTAGATTCCGTTTATCACACAGGTAGCATAGGGTGCAATCTGTAAATGAAACTGTATTTTATTTATTCCCTGTGATGTCAATTACATGAATCAAATTAATTACCTTGAATAGCTGTTTCCATCAACTGAATTCCTCACACTTATTTTGACATCAAAAGATTTGGGTGCAGAACAGGCTGCCTGATAATTGGTGGTCAAAAGGGACCTCCTTTTACAATGCTGAATGCTTAAGGAGAGATTGTACCACTCTGATTCCCACCTCCGGGAAAATTATCCTATCCCACTGAACAGGAGCCTTAAGTATACTTCCTTTGGTGGTAGTTAGCAGAGAATTTTGGTGACAGCAACCTATTCCTTCTGAAGCTGACACTTTGAATCATTGAGGGTTACGTGCAAATTATGGGCTTTTCAGAAGCAGGTCTAAGTAATCAAGAGTTGAAGAACCCAAAATAAAAAACGCAAAAAAAGCTTTGTTCAGGTAGGATACCTTGCCAAGAATTGCTAGCATTAGCATGAATTTCAGACAAGTGTTTTCATGACTAGAGGGCAGGTGCTCCCAATTTATGGTGAATTTCAAAGAACAAGGAGCTCCTAACCTGGAAAAAATAGAAGTCCTACTTACATCATTGTTGAACCGTGATGTATAGAGTTCTGGATGCTTGTCATATTCTACTGGATCATAAACCCCATCAGTTTTCCTTACAAGATGTTGATGTCGACTTAGTACTGTTCCATATACTTTTCTAAGGTCTGTGATGAAGTAGGCAGTAAATCAGACAGAGATACTAGATACTGCAAATTTCTAATGCACATATGATTGATTTAGTAATACCTCCAGTTCTAGAGACCTCCTTCAATTCATGGGGTTCCACAAACTCACAAGGCAGAGCATTAAACATTTCCTGGGCACCCTGCAGATAAAAATATAAGATTTTAGAAATAATGCAAGGCAATGGGAAATAATATTTATACTAAAGACTTTTGCATACTATACTTTATAGAGCCAGTATGCGGAGTCGGTAATGGTATGAATAGAATAGAATAACAGAGTTGGAAGGAACCTTGGAGGTCTTCTAGTCCAACCCCCTGCTTAGGCAGGAAACCCTACACCACTTCAGACAAATGGTTATTTAATCTCTTCTTAAAAAAAGAGAAGCTCCAGTTTTGGAGCATTTACAACTTCAGGAGGCAAGTTGTTCCTCTGATTAATTGTTCTGTCAGGAAATTTCTCCTTAGTTCTAAGTTGCTTGTCTCCTTGATTAGTTTCCACCCATTGATTCTTGTTCTACCCTCAGGTGCTTTGGACAATAGTTTGACTCCGTCTTCTTTGTGGCAACCCCTGAGATATCAGAACACTGCTATCATGTCACCCCTAGTCCTTCTTTTCATAAGACTAGACATATCCAGTTCCAGCAACCATTCTTTATATGTTTTATCCTCAAGTCCCCTAATCATCTTTGTTGCTCTTCTCTGCACTCTTTCTAGCATCTCAACATCTTTTTTACATCATGGCGACCAAAATTGGATGCAGTATTCCAAGTGTGGCCTTACCAAGGCATTATAAAGTGGTATTAACACTTCATGTGATCTTGATTCTATCCCTCTGTATATGCAGCCTAGAACTGTGTTGGCTTTTTTGGTAGCCAAAAAAACCACTGGCTCATATTTAAATGATTGTCCACTAGGACTCCAAGATCCCTCTCTCAGTTACTACTATTGAGCAAGGTACCACATATACTGTACCTGTGCATTTTGTTTTTTTTGCCTAAATGTAGAGCCTTACTTTTTTCACCATTGAATTTCATTTTGTTAGATAGCGCCCAATCTTCAAGTCTGTCAAGATCCTTCTGTATCTTAAGCCTATCTTCCGGAGTGTTGGCTATTCCTGCTAGCTTGGTGTCATCTGCAAATTTGATGAGTTCCCTATCTATCCCTTCGTCCAAATAATTGATGAAGATGTTGAAGAGTACTGGGCCTAAAACAGAGCCCTGGGATACGCCACTGCATACCTCCCATATGATGCTCAAATTGGCCAAGGAAAAATGCTATTCATATCCTACCTGACTTTAGATCATCATTCCCTCCTTCTCAATCCTTGCTCTCATTTCTTGCTCTCTGTAGACTCTACTACTGAATGTGTGATAGATACTACAGAGAGGGACCCCAGACCACAAGAGCGCATTTGCTATTCTGACTCTAAGGGGCAAAATATCTGCTTTCAGCCTAGAAATCCTATGGGGAGATCTGAGAAAGTCTCTAAAATCCTGGAGATTCCACCAATGAGTGTACATGATCCCATTGTGGCATATAGTCAGTTTTAATATGACTATAGCCCATTTTCATTTACCTTTGAAAAAAAGAGGAGAAAAATATGTGTTGAGTCTTGTGGAAACTTTATAATGAGATGGGTGGTATATAAATTTAATAAATAAATAAAATAATACAACTATTTTGCCCTTACTTTCTTTTCACAAAGCATTAAAAAAACCTTACTGACTAATATCAACTTCATGAATTAAATGTCCTGTTGGATTCCTAATTTACCTTTCTGACCATTACAGGAGTGTTTATACTTTTTGGGGCCATAAAACTGTGAGTGTGTTAGTTTTTAAAAGTCTATTTTGTGTATGTGTGTGTGAGAGAGAGAGGGAGAGAAAGAGAGAGAGAGAGAGAGACAGAGAGACAGAGAGAGAGGGAGGGAGGGAGAGGGAAAGGGAGAGGGAGGGAGAGAGAGAGATTTTGCACTTAGTCTTTTATAAAACTCCATCCAGTTCTCATGAACTGTGATTCCATGGAAAACACAATGAAAACCAGTAGCGTATTTGACTATCAAGACAATTTGCAACAATAAAACAGATTAAGTGATATCTGTAAGGGTGGTTCTGGGGCCAAAAGAAAAAGAGAGGAGCAAAGTATCAGGAATGAAGACCATGAGTTTCCCACTTTGATATAAGGGCAATGCAGGGGTGAAATCCAGCAGGTTCTGACAGGTTCTGGAGAACTGGTAGCGGAAATTTTGAGTAGTTTGGAGAACCAGCAAATACCACCTCTGTCTGGCCCCAGAGTGGGGTGGGAATGGGGATTTTGCAGTATCCTTCCCCTGCCATGCCCACCAAGCCACACCATGCCCACTAAGCCACACCACGCCCACCAAGCCATGCCCACAGAACCGGTAGTAAAAAAAATTGGATTTCACCACTGGGGCAATGCCTTGTTTTACCTGCCATCTGGGGCAATCACATTACTGCACTCGGTATTTATAAGGTAGATAGGCATTATGTACTTCTAAAAACTATTTATTAACCTGATATAGATAATAGCTTATGATTTCAGTGAGAAAACGTATTAATGTGGCATATTTCAAATGTGTTTTACCTTAGACACATTGCCAGTTCCTGTAAACACAAATGTGAGGGGCCCAATAGATTTCGGCATCAATCCTAAGGAAATTTCATAGCCAGCGTCCCGAACTGCTTGAACAGCCTGATTGCTATTTCTATAATTATGGGCCATACCAATATGCTGAAACCAAAGACAGAAAACAGTTACTGTTGTCAGTAGCACTTTCAGAAAGATTAACAATGTTTGGCTGGCAGTTTGGTACATAGTCTTACCATGAATGGAGTATGATGTCCCAAAGCCAGAAAACGTAATCCCATTCCATGTAAAATATTGATCATACCTGGATTAGAATTGCAATTTATATAGTTATTAATCAAATGATGCAAAACAAAATGTTTTTGTTGCCAAAACAAAAAAATCAATTGAAACACAGAACAGAATTGAAATAGCTTGTATATCAAATATATATCATCATCCTTTCCAAAATGAGTCAGTTCTGAAGTTTAGAAGTACAAATCCCTTCAGACCTTTATCAAATAAATTACTAGGAATGAAGGAACTCTAGCCTGCAGTGTTTGAAGGATTCCTGTTGGAGAAAGTTGCTATCTATTCTTATCTAAAACTGAGCCAGACCAGATCCTACATATAAATGCAATCTCCTATTCAAATAAATACTGGATAAGATTATCTATTACTTATCTTACTGATTAAATAATGTGAACCATCCACCCCTGAGTGAAGCATTGCATTCTAGTTTTTGTTTTAATGGGAAGAGGCAGGATGAGTAGCTACCAGGCAGTCTACAACTTCCCAAATGAAACTGAGCTATACAAATAGCCTGACTTGTGATAAGGTAGAATCTTATGGTCTAAGAGTGCAATATGTTGCAGAAATTTAAGACATTCTAATCTAAATGAATGAAGTAAAACTGAACAAAACAGAAGGATCACTTTATATACACTATCACTTCATAGTTACCCCAAATATTCTTCTTGGAAAATAAGTGCACATTAATATTCAATCCAGATACCTGCAACTCCAGCCCACTTTCCAAATGCTACAACTCGCACTCCTCTGTGATCCACCATTTTCTCATAATCTATCAATCGAATCTTCTAAAAACATAGAGAGAAAGCATGCGTCAAGTCAAGTCATAGAAGCCAGGCTGCAGGTGGCTTCTCACATTAGTCTCCGTGATCCAGATTTTTAACAGAGGTGAATGTGGTTTCAGTTTTTATATCTGGTTTGGTGCCTCACAAATCCCATGCATATATCGCTGGAACAAATGGGATTGAAGCAAGTATCAAAGTTTAAGCCAGCTTTAATATCTTTCATTTCAGAAATAGTAGCATAAGAGAAATGTGCCTCTGTTTTACTCATGACTTCAAAATATTATGTAGGCTTTTAAAAAAATCATTAATATGAATTCAAAATCAACTCTGTCCCCAGAGGGTATTTCTTGGTATTAGTGACTTCTTCGTTTCAACACAATCTTGATTTTTTAATTTGCATTTGACTTATCCTTCTTTTACTCCACTTGACTTTCTCTAAATAACCTAAAATACAATTTCCGTCTCTCCAATCCTTTGCCTAAATTAATAATTAATAATTTACTGTGTGTGGATGGAGAAAAGTTCATGATAGAGATGTATGGGAACAGAAGGAAAAGCCAATTAAAGATAAACATCTTTTAATTATAGTAAAAAATTAAATCAAGCATTTGATATATGTCTATTGAAATGTAAGCCACACTGATGGGAATGTTTCCTGCTTAGATTAATATAGTCTAAAAATGCATAGCAGTAGATTGGGAGCATGTGTATTTTTCTCCTTTTTTGCCTTTAAAACTCCTAACACACATTATAGATAACTGTCATAGTATGGAAAGTTAATTGCATGCTTGACAAGTATTCTCACACAGCTTCTATTGCATTTCATAATGGTATTATCATAACAATAGTTCTCAGTAAGTGCAGTATTACCTTGCTTAGGATCTCATCCAGCAAGGACATATTTGCCTCTTGAGCTTTGATAGTATGAGAGAAAAATGCATAGTTCTTGTTGGGAATTAGCTTGTCTTCTGGGGGCCTCTTCACACCCACAATAAGGCAAGCCTGGGAAATATCTTCTTGTATAATGCCTCCCGCTTTAATATAGTCCTGCCAATGGATCATTAAAAGGTTACTGAGACAGCTGAGATGAACAAAAGCAGAAAACAGAGATACGTTTTCTAGATGCTATTCTAAGTGAGTATAATTTATATCTATACTGGTCAAGAGATGTGCAGCTCTTCAGATTTGATTCTGAAGAGCTATTTTAGAACATGGGCAAGGCCGAATTATAGGCAGTCCTTGACTTACAACCACAATTGGAACCAGAATTTCTGATGCTAAAAAAGGCAGTTGTTAAGTGAGTTGTGCCCAATTGTATGACCTTTTCTGCCACGGTTGTTAAGCAACTCACATGGTTAAGTGAACCACGTAGTCATTAAGCGTAGGCACTGGTATCTTTTATTTTTCAGTGCCACTGTTAACTCTGAACAGCCGTGAAACAAGTGCTGTAAGTCAAGGACCACCTGTACAGAGCCTGCCACTCATTAAAGCAGTCACATCTGTTTCCAGGATCACATAGCTATAGCAGAAGCCCCCCCCCCAATGGAGTGGTTCTACAGTCCTGTAAAGGGCGGGGGGGGGCTTTTGATTTTCAGTTAGATCATATTCATCAGCCCAGAGCAGAGCTGCAATATAATTCCTTTCACATTAAAAGAGAAGCTTCTGAACAAAAGATTCTTCGGTGTGAAATCCATCCTTCTTCACCTCTGCTGCTCTTGCCTATCTTTATATACATATATTATACATATATTTATATACATATATATTTATGCCGCCTTTCTCCAGACTCAGGGTGGCTTACAATGCGTTAAGCAATAGCCTTCATACTTTTGTATATTTATACAAAGTCAGCTTATTGCCCCCACAATCTGGGTCCTCATTTCACCTACCTTAGAAAGGATGGAAGGCTGAGTCAACCCTGAGCCTTGGAGAGATTTGAACTTGCAGTAATTGCAGGCAGCTGGTGTTAATAACAGTGCTTTAGTCTGCTGCACCACCAGGGCTCTATCTCTAATTCTTCTTATCATTCTTTTGGTTCATTCCTTCTTCCAAGCCTTGCTTTTGATCTAAGTCTTGCTTGAGGTACCTCAGGTATCTTTTTCCAAAGTTCAGGTATCTTTTTCCAAAGTCTCTGACTCTTCCTTCTTTCTTTTCTGAAAGCCTCCAGCTCCTTTGCTCCTGAGTAAGGGCATTTTAGCCCATCCATGTCAGGGTTTCATTAGCTTTCCACAAAATCTCTCTATATAGTATAGACCAGGGGTCTCTAACCTTGACAACTTTAAGATTTGTGGACTTCAACTCCCAGAGATCCTCAGCCAACCAAGCTGGCTGAGGAACTCTGGGAGTTGAAGTCCACAAGTCTTAAAGTTGCCAAGGTTGGAGACCCCTGGTATAGACAGCTTTTGTTGTTTATTAATTTGCCCGTGCATTTCATGCATTCTTTCTGTTCAAAAGAGCAAAATAAAATACTACATGCAAACACCACCGTGACCTAAACATACCTTTTCATGGATGGCCCTGCGATTGGATGGTTGCACCAGAACTTTGTACCCCAAATTGGTCAACATCTTGACATGACGTGGTGCCAGAGGGGCTCTTCTTTCCCAGGCATTAACATCCTCTCTCCTGATTGCCAGGACAGACTTGTGATAATGCTTCCATCTTGAAAGGTGCCTCTCAAACTGATCCCCCGTGTGTTTGAATGCTTGCAGCATGACTGAAAACCTTGCCATAGCAAAGATGCGGTAACAAACGAATACAGCATAAATATGTTTTGAAGCAACGTTTTAATGGAACAAGAGAGAAAGAAATCTTGATTCCTTAGAAATCTGCTGTAAAATCTAGGCAGCTAATAAGCCATAAACGCACATTGCCGTTATTATTACCATTACTGCTCTTAGTATTACCACACTAATAGTCAAGCACTTTGAGCCCTTTTTTATTGTTCAAATGGCTTTTCTTTACTAAACAAGATCATAACAGAACTTTGCAGGTAACATATCAAAAAAAGGATAAGTGCCGTAAATATACATGTCATTCCAAAAAAAAGAAAAAACCAAAGGTGCTCCAAGAATTCAAAAAACACATCCAAACCAATCAATCCTAACCTTCCCCTAGAATTCACATTGTTCATTGTTCTGAATAAAAGTTCCTACCAACCACACTGATCAAAATTATAATAATCCACAATCCACAATTCTATTTAGTTTTTTCAGTCATTTATTAAGTTTATATGACACACACACCCCACTATAACAGTGACTCTGGGCAGCTTACAGCATAATAAAAAGATAATACAAAAGAGTTAAAATTAAGAAGAATTAAATAGACTAAAAAGCCACAGGCATCACAGGGACAAAGATCTTTTCTCTAACCCAGTGTTTCTCAACCTTGAGCGCTCCTATTGGGACTCCAAGTCAGCCTGCACAGCCAGATTTTAATTCTCTTCCAAAAGGACCACAGTCCAAATCAATTTTTTTTTTTCAATCCTGGTGACCACCTGTAGTCTTTGCAGTTTTCTTGGCAAGCTTTTTCAGACATGGTTTGCCCTTTTGTGCCAAAGGTGGGACCAGAAAGTCTCCCCAAATGTCTACCCTGGTATCTTAACTGCCACACCAAACTATGCAAATGGGTACAAACACCAAACAATGCAACTTTAAATTTTTCTTAAATATTTATATTGTGATTAAGAAATAGCATTATACTCAATGAAATAATGTTTTGACATGTACCTTATCTGACCTCACCTAACATTTTTTTAAAGGCCTAGGTGAAAAAAAGTTCAAAGAGTTTACTGGAAAGATATATAAATTGAAACCCAATGAAACTCCTTAGGGAAAATATTCCAAATTCCATCACAAAAAGCCTTCTCCCCATCTGAAATTTGCATTGTGTTTGACATCAAAAGTGCCTCGAGAAGATCAATATCTATGTTCATAAGTAGGTTCACAAGAGAAAAAGTGGCATTTCTCATATTCAGGTTTATTCTGGCTATCTGAGGTCACTTTGGGTTTTAAAGCAGTAATCAGAACTATCGTAGTTCAGTTATACTCAGGAATACATAGAACAGGATAAGGTATTTCTGAACTTGTATGATAAAATCAAGTTCCAACTCATATACTAGCAGTTAGTAGTGCTAGTAGCAACAAGCCTAAAAGAAAGTGAGGTTTCAGAAATGTATTTATTTATCAAATTTGGATATCACCTTCTCCCTCTTTACCAGAGAAACTCTCAAATTGCATACTGATTTATGGCAGTGTGGAGTTCACATAATGGTTTTAGATGTATTTGGATTATACGTTAGAAACATTATATAGTGTTGCTGTGAGATATTCTTACCCAAGCACAGGGATACATTTTTGAAACACTTCAGGGGAAAAGATAAGAAATAATCTATAAAACAACAGATCTCTGTTCACCTCCAATGGAACAAAAGAGAAAGACTTTTTTTTAAAAAAAATGATTTATATGCCGCCCTTCTCCGGAGACTCAGGGCAGCTTACAATTTTACTTCTTGCTGTTGGGAGTTCTCAACCTTCAAAGTTTTCAACCACAGTACCCACAATTTCAAACACCCCCTATGCCTCCAAAATTAGAGTGCCCTTGTAATTCAGTGTTTTACATGAACAAAATGCAATTTTGGAATTTATACATGTCCTAGCATGCATGCATATAAGTAACAAGAAATCTTAGCCTTAAAAAAGGTTCCACAAATAAATCTGTAATTGTTTACAGCCAATTTTAAACACTGTAGCAAAGATGTTCATACTGTTCTGCCAATAGCAACATTGTTTCAGTTTAGTTGCCACTTCTAACATCAATATACAGTTATATAACACCTTGACTATTACAGTTACCAAAATGAGTAACATGGGATAAGAAGGTACATATTCTTTTGAATTGTTAACTGACTTAAATATACGAAAGTGAATAAATGAACAGTTTTCATGGTTGAAAAAAAATGCAAGCTGGGATTCTATAAGGAGAGCAGTGAGTTGATCAAATTTACTAATATTTGTAAGTTGTTAATTATATTAAAAGCAAAAGGAGATTATAATGAGCTCCAATAGGATCAATCCCAATTATCAAATAGCAAACAAATTAAATGGAAACAAGGATGTCATTCACTTTTTTAAAAAAATATATAAAATATATAAACTTCAAATACACATTAATAGGATCTAAGCCAGGGGTCTCCAACCGAGGTGAGCCGAGGTGGCGCAGTGGTTAGAGTGCAGTGCTGCAGCTACTTCAGCTGACTGCTAGTTCAGCAGGTCAGCGGATCAAATCTCAGCCTTCCATCCTTCCAAGGTGGGTAAAATGAAGACCCAGATTGTTGGGGGCAATATGCTATTTAGTATACTGTCTTTGGTGTAAGCCGCCCAGAGTCCTCGGAGAGTGGGCAGCATAGAAATGTGAATAATAAAATAAATAAATTGGCAACTTTAAGACTTGTGGACTTCAACTCCCAGAATTCCTCAGCCAGCTTTGTCCACAAGTCTTAAAGTTGCCAAGACCCCTGATCTAAGCAGATCAGAAGGTCTATTTTTGACTCACAAATGGGTAGCTTAAGAAAAATAACTGTCTAGAGTAGCCTCACAGCCAGATAGGTGGCAAATAAATTTAACAAATAAATAATATAAAAAAATATCAATCCAGTATATGGCTGCTGAAATGAAACCATTCAGATGGGAACAACAGAATTTCCTTATGTGAATTTATGACTTCAAACTTGGAGCACTGCTTATCATTGTGATCACCACAAGTGAAAAAAAGGATATTCTAGAGTAGTGGTTGTCAAAGTGTGGTGTGGGGGAACCGTGGGCCTCTACAAGGAAAGCCTACAGTTTGGGGGTCTTTTTAGCCTGCAGCAAAACCATAGAAGAAGAAACTGGATAAGGATTTCATGGTATAAAAAATCTTTCTCCCAATGTTAGAACTCAGGATATGCAGTAAAATTAAATATGGGAAATTCAGGATGGAATTATTCTTTAAAATTCTGCAAAATACATAAATACACTAATGAATGAGTTTGTTGATGTAAAAAGATGTTTTGATGGTCACCAATTAAGTTGGCCTTTAAAATGCTGTAGAAAAATTCATATAGGATCATCTACCAATGAGAATTCACCTTAATAAGTTATTTACTTATTTTTCTTAATACTGCTACTCATGGAAGTGAACCAATACTAGAAATACTCTGAATTTTTATAACTAACACAATAAAAATCAAAGTCATTAAATACTACAATTACAACTAGGCATCCAACACACCTATTTATTTTCTCTGAGATCACAGGGAGCATTTACTGAACACTAGTTGCTAAGAAATGGCAATGGAAAATCACTGCCTCCTCTACATTTCTGAATTGTGCTATTGACCTGATCTTTACAGTACAGAAATAGAAAATCATTATCTGATACAGAAACAATCCCAGAAAAGTTGCAAAAGTAGCAATAATACAGCCAAACTTGTAATCTAAGCAAGAATAAGAAAACGGAACTAATCTAAAAGCCAACAGTATTATGTTGGATGGGGATAGGATGGGCCGATAACCTCAAAACTTTGTGCTCTTCTAAATAATGAATGCTGTTTTCTATGCAATTTTCTATGCAATTTCTTTGGCAGCATTTTCAGTAGTGGTTTGCCATTGCCTCCTTTCTGGCAAGAGTTGAGGGAGAAGGAGTGGCCCAAAGTCAACCAGCTAACTTCGTGCCTAAGCAGGAGTAGAAATCACTTTCCTGGTTTCCACCCTAGTTCTTTTATTCCCTGCCTACACCAAACTGCCTCTCCAAAGGGACGGACTGCTATGCTATCTGTTAAATATGTAGACAGAAGTTGCCTTTGGAGGTCTCTAATCTCTAAAGCAATTCTCTAAAGCAAATCTTCAACTGCCCCAAGACTATTGAACGTTCATATTCCCAGAATGTCTTTAGTCGGACTGATCTTGGAGACCTCAAACCTCTTAAATGTTGTATTTCGCTTTAGGATCAGCCAGCTTTGCTGGCTGGGGAATTCTGGGAGTTGAAGTCCTTCAGGCTTAAAGTTGCCAAGGTTGGAGACCCCTGATCTAGTGGCTAAAGAAACTTTTCAGCCAACTGCTTTCTCCTGCCTCTGTTTCTAGCTCTGAACGCCTGAGGGATTTTCATGTGGAGAAAAAAAACCGAAAGTCTTTATTTTGCTCCTCTCTAATGCATAGCCAGGATGTTTCTCTCAACCTGAGGGACTCGACATCTATTGGAACCATCATTCCCGACTGACTGCCGATTGGGAATGTGCCCAAAAACCCATTTTGGAAAAGGCAAGGGAAGCGAACCCTATAACCCAAAGCCTGGGGGAGTGGGGGGGGGTTCAGGAGAAACGAGAAAAAAAGAGAGAGAGGAGGTAAGGAGGGCTACGAAGCTCCCATTAAACGCCAGGAACAAGAAGAAGAAGAAGTTCATAGGAGACGCAGGTCGAGCGTAGAGCTCGGAAGAGGATTCGCTCCCGCCTCCCTTCGCTAACCTGGCGCGCCGCTCCCACTGCCCATGCGCTGCCCAGGCGAGGCCTACTGCAAGGAGAGGGAGAGCAGGTTCTGCAAAAGCAGCAGCCGCCGCATGTGCGCGCCGGGAGTCTGGGAGACTCCTAGGCCCGACTCGCCTGACCCATCCCCCGGAGTGACAAGGCGCCCAGCCTGCAGGGCACCGTTTACCTCAACGGTCGAGAGTAACGCCGGACCTGCCGCAGTTCCCGAAGAGGGCTCGACGTGCACCCGGGCGAGCAGGCGCCAGACCCTGCCAAGCGCCGCTATTTACAGAGCGGGGAGGCGCGGCGGGGAGAGTGAAGGCGAAAGATGCCTCCCTCCCCGGCAGCCAATCCCCGGCCGCTTCATGGGTACGAGCCTTCCCCTTCCGTCAGGCGAGGCCGGCCGGCCGGCAGAGCCCTCGCCTCCCCTTTGGCCGGCGCGCCTCGTTGGGCGGGTGCCCTGGGCATCCTGCGGGGAGTGGCGCTGCAAATCCAGAAGGGCGCCTTAAACTTTTCTGGGTTGTTGTGAGTGAAGGGGCGATCAGGGAGGGAGGGAGGGAGGGGGAGAGAGAGAAGGAAGGAAAAAGAAAGAAAGAAAAAAGGAAGGAAAGAAAAAAGAAAGAAAAGAAGGAAGGAAGGAGAAAGAAAGAGAAGGAAGGAAGAAAAGAGAAAGAAAGAAAAAAGGAAGGAAGGAAAGAGAAAGAAAGAGAAGGAAGGAAAGAGAAAGAAGGAAGGAAGGAAGGAAAGAGAAAAAAAGAAAAGGAAGGAAGGAGAAAGAAAGAGAAGGAAGGAAGGAAAGAGAAAAAGAAGGCATGCGCTCACATCTGCATTTTAGTTTCAAAAATTGTTTGCTGATTTCTCCATTCCTGTAAAGTACAGAGCACAATGTCAGCCAACTCACCACCGGACCTGATAGGATTTAGTTTGACTGACTGCCCTCTATTTCCCATTAGTAGCCTTTCCACCCAGCCTTGAGATGGCAGAAAACTTATCCTGGCATGAAATCTGTTCCCAGTGCCAAGACCTAGGGTGTCTCTAGTGTTTCTGGCCACAGTTGCTTCAAGGAAAAGAAGAGAAGGGGGCCAAAAGTTGGGCATTTAATTGGTGTTTAGATCCATAAACAAATATATGTTCCTAAATTGAAGAGTCAAAAAGTTTATTCCACTTAATTGCTGTGATGAAATGGGACAAACAGTACAGACAGCCACTTGTCTGAAATGGTATAGGGCAATGATCACAAACCTTTCAGACACCGAGTGCCCAAACTGCGTGTGTATGCATGCACAAACTGAAAAGTGTGTGACTCTCTCTCACCCCAAGCTACCTAACAGGGTTGTTGTGGGGAAAATAAGAGGAAGGTGTTTTGGACATGTTCACCACCTTGAGTTCTTTGTAAAACTAATAAAGACAACACACAAATAAATAAGATGCGATGACTACATTTCAGAAGCTTGACACTTTTGTTCTTATCTGGATTTGTTGCTTTAATGTGGTTTTAATGGTTTAATTTTTGACTGGAAGCCAACCAGAGTTTGTTATATGATGGGCAGCTATTGAAATGTCTTAAATTAAACAAATAAACTGGGCCAGCTAATAAAATGAAAGAATAGTGATAAATACCTACCACATCTGTGAAGCTTTCGATTCAAACACCGAAGAAGATAATGGGAAGAAACTTTATCCATGCTGCCATTTTAGTATTTTGGAAGGCCATCAAGATGTGGCTCTGGGACAGAGTAGTTGGGCCTATGAAGGATTGTTGGAGCACCTTAGGAAGATGCTTGCACTGGTATTTAGTTTTAGTTTTGGCTTTTATGGTTTATATCGGGGCTGTCAAACTCCCTGCCTGCATTGGCCACGCCCATGCCAGGTTTAGCGAAGAGGGGGAAGTTCTGATACGTCACGTGATGCCACCGTGACAATATGAGTTTCACACCGATGGTTTATATGGTTTCTTATTTTTCCTATGAGCTGATCAGAGTTGTACTTTTAAGATGGACAGCCATACAAATTTTTAAAATAGATAAATAAAATTATAAGAGGAATTTTCCCATGTAACTTCCATCTCTGTCACCATCCTGTCTTCCCCTCCTCCTCCTCACCTCATTAAAATCCAAATCCTAATTGCTCAAATTCCTCCATGCATCTGAAGAAGTGACCTTCAGCTCACAAAAGCTTATAACTTTTAATAAAATGTATTACTATAATTGAAGTGGCCCCCAGACTCCTTCCGATTTTCAGATACCATAAACTAAAACAGCTCCCCTCTTACAATAATTTAAGACATAATTAAGTGCCTGTGTAAACTATCTGATGATTTGTAAAACTCTATTCTGCCAAACAAACATGTTTTTGAATATGAAAGTACAAGATCAAACTTTAATGGTTTCAAAAGAATCCTGGTAATAGAAAAAAATAAAATCCATTTGTAAATCAGCTTTCTGTTTGTAAGACAGAATGATGTATACAAATTATTCACAGGGAACATTTTAACCTTTCAGCACTTGACAAAACACATTATTCAAGGAGAATTGGAATCATTTAAGTGTTGTATTTAGGAAGAATGAATAAAATATATTTAATGCATTTCTATTCAATGTAAAAGAAATATTCTGTCAGGATGTGAGAGAGTTCGTGAATTGGGGTAGACATGGTAACAGGTCAGCCAATGGGGACTGTTTGGTGACCCAGACAGCTCGGAGCCTGGGCTTAGGTTCACTGATCTGTATATATATGAGTGCCTCTGTATTATATTGCTTCTGTGATTATTGCTTCTGTATTTTTTGGATTCTGAGTTCTGGTTCTGGCTTCTGTTGTATGGTATTGTACTGTATATAAAGAAGTTTCTTTTATAAATGAATCCTGCTGAATTGTTTACTTGTGTGCTGGTTGGATTGCTGCAAGCTCTAACATATTCTATATTACTGCTAGTATTGTTAGAAGAAATATCATTCTGGGTTCAGCTCCAAGTGGGGAAAAAGACACTGGAAACATGGAGACTGCTTGGAAAGATGGTTTAATGGTGGACAGGATCACATGGTTTGAGTTCCTGAACAGAAAAGGGGCCGAGATGCAGCGAGTCCCTGGGTTTTATGCCCCCTCTGGCTTTGAACTTCCTGGGGCCCCGAAAGAGTATCCTGATTGGTTGTCAGACTCCGGGGGGGGGGTCTTAGTTAGCCTTGCTGGCTGATGTAATCTTCCCAGGTGTCATGTGGTGAGTTTCTGTTGCTAGATGGGTCCTATTGTATTAGTTTCTGTTGCTAGATAGGTCCTATTGTGTTGCAGATGATGGTCCATTGACAAAGATGGGAGGGAATTGAGTTTCTGCCTCTGGCCCATTGACAAAGGGTGGGGGGGCAGGAAGGTGGGAGCTGCTTCGTCTTTAAAACATGCTTCTCCATTTCTCATCCAGGGAAACATAATATTCTGCCTTTTTAATATTTCCTAAAATATTTCATTCTTCTAGGAGAGGGGTGGGTGCTACAGTATAGAAATATGGTATACTGTTCTGTACTAAAAGTTTAACAGAATGATTAGAGAATTCTATACAACAAGTAAGTTGTATCTGCTGTGACCGGTGATATTAGTAGGCAAGTTGTAAATTATTGCTATCTAAAGTGTCAGATTTGCTGTAACTCTTAGTTATTTACACATTTATCTTTAACAAAATAATCAGGGACTTCCATTGAATGAATTAAAGCTCCATTCAACCTTAATCTTATTGTCAAGAAACTTATTTCTTGGCTCTTTCTAAACAACAGCATTAAGGATGGTGCTTACAAGACTTAAGTATTTTAAGGTCACATATTTGAGATTCTAGAGGAGACATGGAAGTGACCTCGAGATCATGAACACCTTAAGGAATCTCCCAAAAGCTATCCACAGGGAGTAATGATAGAGATTGCAATTTTGTGACTGAGGCATCATTATTTTTTTGATATGTTAAAACCACCCAAGACAAGCTTCAACCACCCATTTTCAATTGCTTTCTTTAATTCTTTTAGCACCTTTAGTCTGCAGGTGCTCCCTGTTCCCAAACAACTGTGGCTTACAGTCCTCCATCTTTTTTTCCATTTTCCATCACAATTGAATCAGTAAAATATGGCACAGTGGTTAGAATGCAGTATTGCAGGCTAATTCTGCTGGCTGCCAATTGCCAGCAGTTCAGCTGTTCGCGTTTCACCAGGCTCAAGGTTGACTCAACCTTCCATCCTTCCAAGGCTGGCAAAATAAGAACCCAGAGTTTTGGGGGCAATATGTTGACTCTGTAAACTGCTTAGAGAGGGCTGTAAAGCATTGTGAAGCGGTATATAAGTAAGTGCTATTGCTATTATCTGGAGGGGGGGGAAGTGAGTTGAAAACATCTTATTCGCCCAGATCTTTTCTTTCGTTCTGATTTCCACCACTTGTTTTGGGTCAAATGTCTTCTTTTCAAGGACTCAGAAGAAGGTAATTGCTTATCATCTGAATTTTGTTGCTATG